CCCTCCCTGGGGCAGTAACAGTGTGTGTCCCCCCTCCCTGGGGCAGTAACAGTGTGTGTGTCCCCTCCCTGGGGCAGTAACAGTGTGTGTGTCCCCTCCCTGGGGCAGTAACAGTGTGTGTGTCCCCTCCCTGGGGCAGTAACAGTGTGTGTGTCCCCCTCCCTGGGGCAGTAACAGTGTGTGTCCCCCTCCCTGGGGCAGTAACAGTGTGTGTCCCCCCTCCCTGGGGCAGTAACAGTGTGTGTGTGTCCCCCCCTCCCTGGGGCAGTAACAGTGTGTGTGTCCCCTCCCTGGGGCAGTAACAGTGTGTGTCCCCCCTCCCTGGGGCAGTAACAGTGTAAGTAACAGAGAGCCTCCAATGAACATGTCTGATATGAAACACAGTTTGCGGTTCCCAGCACTGGGCTCCCTCCGCCATGACTCCAGCCCAGGACACTCGCACTTACCGCCATCTTCCCGCTACTCTATCTGCCAGGCCGGGCCCGCCCACTTTAACCGGAGCGGGGGAGGCCGACCCACCTCACTCCTTCTCCTCCAAACAAACCTGCCCTGCCCTCAGCCGCTCGCTCCTTTCTCTCTCACACAAATATCGCCTCTTTTAACTAAACCGGGCACCGTGTGCAGAGCAGCGCATCAACGCCGCGCTTTCACAATAATATCGGGCCGGGACACCCCCGCCGATCGGAGCGTTTGGTAAAGTCCAAGTGTGAGCGCGCTTTACGTGCGGCGTAAACACAGCGTGGGCTTCAGGTTGCGTTGCGACGTCGGCCGTATTTCAGTCAATGTGCTGTAAATTGTGACCATCCATTGTGTTTGTGTATAGAGAGGGGGGTTAGTTTCATTTCAGGTCCAGCTAACAGAATGGCTGGCTTGGTTTACATGTTATGGCACAAGCAGGAGGTAGAAGGCGTTCTTACTAATAAACTGGCATTGAACCTTATTGGACTCCTTTATAAAACAAACTCTTTGTTATAATTATATTTCTCATTTAAAGGGGGTCTATATTATTGTTTAGGTCAGGAATACCTAAAAGGGAGATTCCCCAGATGTTTTAAAACTACAGCTTCCATGATGCTTTTTATTCTAAAGGCATGCAAAGTATCATGGGAGTTGTAGTTGTACAATATATGGGGATCTACCTTTTGGGCACCCTGTTTAGATTGTTTCTAAAAAAATATACAGCTAAAGCCCAAAAATTACATAAGTTAATATGTTTTTGCCTGTAAATATGCCTTACATGTTGCTGGATATGGAAATTCAAGTCATAAATCACGGAACCCTGCTGCACATAAATTGTAAGTTTTGCAAGGCAGCATATTCATACTGCTCAGAAGCCAAATTTGGGTCACTGTCCTGAGTTTGTAGAAAGTAATTTAAATTAAAAGCATTCTGCTATTTTCAGAGCTCCTTATCTTGGAGAGGATAATCTGTTAAAGTTGGGTTGTTTTAAAAAAAAATAAAAAAAAATTATTAACCCCCTAAGGACCAAACATGTCATGTGTCCTTAAGGGGTTAATGTTTAAGCTTTTCATAAATGCAAAAAGTTATCACTATGCAGCATTGACTGTGTATAATTAAAAAGCCAGTAAGCAAAGGTGAGGTCACGTAAAAGTTTGTCCCTGTTCTAGTTATACCTTCATACCAGACAAAATGTGTCACTGGTGACACAATAAAGAGGTAGTTCTGTCTGAATGTGGTACCTGTGCCAACCCCCATTCAGGGCAACATATGCGCAAAGCTCCTTGGGCGCACTGTAGGCATGGGCTTAATTTTGTATCTTTTGAAGCGTTCACGCTATGCTGATTAAGTAACTAACACAAGACAGCAGGAACGGAGCCCAAATTTGGGATGGCACCGCCGAACCTGGGAAACTTTGGACGTATACTCTGTTTATAATTCCCCTTGTTTTCTGCAATTCCAGTATCAGCAATGAGATATTTTAGCTAAATTTTGCCATTTGTATTTCAATTTTCTGCAATTTGTTTTTTAAATTCTTTATTTTTGTAGTGCGTAGGTTAACGGACTTGCATGAAAAAATATTTCTCAAGATGGCATGTGACAGCACAAATACAACAGGTGTACGAAATGTTGAGAGTTGGCTGCACTATTTTTTGAAAATACAAACAAGATAAAGTGGGGGCTAGGGCAACATAGTGCTCACTAATTGGTAAGAATAGAAATGTCAGCAGGACATGTAAACAATCTCGAAATCTTGTTACATTAGCTGACGTTGCTTAAAAGTACATTTCCCCGGGTTGTGAAATAACTTGTGATAGAAAAGAAACAAAAATAAATAGCTCACAGCTAGCAGTGTACGGGTTGCCTTTAAGTATCCCACTGCTCATCCAATGCCCCTCAAGAAGTGCACATAGACTTGAGGATGGAAAGGGCAAGAGTCCTGGGTCTGAGAAGCCCACCAGTCCGGAACCAGAGTGCAGTTCCCTTCACCAGACCCATAAGTCCCACAGAAGCTGCAGGTAGAATTTGAGCTGGAACTTGGGGCCCATTGTCAAGCTTCCTCATTGCATGGTGAGTGAGGGCCATCTGAGGGAGGGAGTAGGCCAGCAGGGAGTTTCCATTGATGAACTGGGGCCTATGAAGGCCTCGTGGAAAAGCCTGGCATGGCCGTCTGCTTCTGCACGACTGCGAAGTAGGTGCCTCCATCTTCTCTCCAGCTGTGCTGTGTTAGGTCACCCATGGCATCCCGGCTTGGCTGTTTTTGGCAAAGAGCCAGATCGAAACAGGGTTGTGGTGTCTGGCTGTGGCGTCTGCTGCTGGAGTTTATTCTAGAGTTGCATCCAGAAGTTCTTGAAGGACTTGTTTATACGGTCTTCCAGCATGGCCCAAGTCGTGAGAGTCAGGAGTGCTGAGGGCATCATGTCAGCGGCCATCTTAGCTTGCAGCTTGCGGTAAGTCCGCTCTGTGGGAAGCATCGAGTGTGGCCAAGGTAAGTAAGGCTTCACCTCATGGAGGACCGGGATAACCCCCACCGATCCATAGGGAGGGGGGATAAGAGCATGCTTGGACCCCGTCTCAGCCCTCCATAGGCTGCACTTGCTTTCCATCATGTGTCTACGACCACCGGCTTCAAAGTTGCTACCATGGTGGCCACAGCTAACTTGAGGGCGCCCAGCTTATGTGTGCGCTTAAAAAAGCAGGCATTGAAGGGTAAAACCTGCTAAATTGGGGTCTCAGGCTAGGAGCTCGAGCCGTGTGCGACCATCTAGCTCTGTAGTCCAATTCTCTGCAATTTAGTGAATAAACCCGAGGCAACTTTTGGGAGACAGTGACAAGGATCTTGCTCTCAGTGAGTTTAGACCTGCTCTGAGCTCTGCTCAAACAGAGTGCCTCTGGTTCTCTGTCGTTAGTACTGGAGGCAAGAGTGGTGCTTGATGGACCCAGGTAAGAAAACATTTAAACAACTGGCAATGGTGGGCACCAGGGCACTTTTTACGCCATAACCAGTACAGCTGTAGCTTCTTAATTATTAAAGGATATAATTGTTAATATGTGTGATAACACCATGTCGGTCCAAGCAAATATCTGACTGCCATTTTGGAGATGAATTTTTCACATGATACTATGAGTAGCGTTGGATTGGTCACCAGCTTGAGAGTCGAATGACATAGTGAGATTAAAGGTCAGAAAAGTCCTCTTTTTTTAAGGTTTTATCTGGAAGGAAGCGAAGGGGGGAGGCGGTTAAAAAGAATCTACAAATATTGCCCTCCAGCGCTAGCAACACTATAGGCACCAAAACCACTCCATTTTAATGACAATATGGCTGCCATTAGTATACAGAGCGGTGCCACATGTGATAAATGAGACAGGTCTTGGTGGTATATTACTTATTCCATTCTTTCCTGACAAGCAATTTATGGAATAAAAGTCTGAACCTGGTGCAAAAAGAAAAACCTTTTTTTTTATTTTTTTTATTTTTTTATTGTTGTTAATTATTTTTCTGAATTATTGTCAAGATAATGCATTAAATAATAGGGAGGAAAGGGGTATGTTTATCCACACATTTCCATTAAAGCATATATATATTATTTTATTCAGCTCTGCAGTATGACTGACCACCTTCACAGTACAGATTTTCTAATCTATAATGACACTGGACAGGCTATGGCAAGCTGTCAGCTCAGCTATCACTGTGCCTGCCCAAACCAAAGATGGCCGAAAGCAGCTCTGCGTCGCTGGGCGAGGGGGCGTGGCTACTGGGACACACCCACCGCGTCTACACTTTAGCTGTGCCTTCCAATAGTACGGAAGGGATGGGCGTGGCCTACCAGTGTGCCCTCCCCCCTTCCTCCTCCCTGGGCAGAGGTACCTCCAGGGAGCGGCCAGTGCGCATGCGCTAAGCATGGCGCTGGGGAACAGCTGACTGACAGTGTGCCTGCTGCCTGTTGACAGTCTCTGCTGCTGCTGGGGGTCGGTCAGGATGAAGCCTTTAGGGTTCCTGCTCGCCTGGGGGTTCCTGGTCACAGAAGTGAGTTCCCTTCTTCCAATGCCCCTTACAATGGTCAATCTGCACCCCCCCTCCCTCTCTCCCTGTGTGTATTGTTAGTACATATCGCCAGCTTGCCCTCTACTGGCTCCATCTCATACTCAGCACTGCTATAGGCAGCCCATGCTACAGCCTGTCTGCTCAGTATCCCCATGGGATTCATCATTCACATTCCTTTAGTTGTATAATATAATTTTTTTTTTTTTAGATTTTTTTTTTTGTGTTTTTATGTATTTAATTTTTTTTTTTAATTTTTTTTACACCTGATTTAGCTTTATGTCTCATTTATTGCCCTCTCCTAAAACTGCCCAGCCCATCTCAGATCATGTGCTGTATCAAAGCTGCAACCATTACAGCATTGGCAGCCCTTTAAAAAAAAAAAATAAAAAAAAAAAAGCCCCATATGTATCTGGTGCACTGGAATTTGTAACACTGCTGTCAAAACAAATATATAATGCTTTGTTATAAGGACAAGCCTTGTATGTAGTGTTGTATACACTGATTTTACTGAATTTAGGAAAGGTGGAGATAAAACAATAATGCTTTGTTATAAGGACCAGCCTAGTCTGTATGTTATACACTGATTTACTGAATTTGGGAAACATGTACAGTTTATGCTGCCCAAGTACACAGCCCCCCCCCCCTCACCCCCTAATCTCCTCTCAGGGGAACACAGTAACACCTCATCTGTAAGGTTAACATACACCTCTAGTAGAACGTTTAGATCAGGGGTAGGCAACCTTTTAGCAGCACTGTGCAGATATAGGATTGTGATGTCCCATAGCGTGTGGTCTTATTTTTTTTAAAATTGAGGTGTGTATGTTGCCGTATGCTGCTTGTGTTATTTTTACTGTAATTGCTTTGTATTGTTGTCTATGTGCGTATATGCAGGGCTGTCTTTAATATTGACTGGACCCTGGGAAAACCATTTGCTTGGGGCCCCCTGGACCCTGTCCCCCCTCCCCAGGCGTGCAATCACGTCATCCACCCCAACGCTGACCCACACAGACATGCTGACCCACACAGACATGCTGACAGACACACACAAGCATACTAACACACGCCAAATTTACACTTTAAAACCCACCCTCCAGTTTCCTACCTTTCCTGCTGGTGGCTGAAGGTATTGGGAGGTGGGGTCTGGCCCCCTCCACTCTGCCTACTCTTCTTTTCCGCGCGCTCATCTCTTTGTGGGAGGAAGTAATGTACAGCGGTCCCTTTCTCCCAGCCTGCTGCCGAAAAGCAAGGGGCCCGCTCGCGCTGTTAAAGCGCTTCAGCGCGCGACCAGACTCCTGCTGTGCATGGGCCAGCCGGTGGGCCTCCTTAGTGTGCGGATTACCGGCCGGGGGGTGAAAAATAGTTGAGGCCAGCGGGGCTCACAGTGCAGCTGCCCCGTTTGCCCCGCGTTAAAGACGGCCCTGCGTATATGAGCTATTATATTGTATATGTTCATGAGTAGTTTATGATATTGTGTATGATACATATGAATGCAAGCTGTGTATGGGGCTGCTTGTGGAATTGTGTGTGTGTGTGTGTGTGTGTGTGTGTGTGTGTGTGTTGATGGATATGTCACGTTGTGTGTGGGGGCTTATTGGGGTATTGCATGTGGGATTGTGTGCATGTATGTGGATTGTTAGTGGTGTTGCGGATTGTGTGTATGTTTGTGTGTGGGCTGTCCATATTATTTGTATGAGGGGAGGGTTATTCTGCATTTCTGTGTATATCTAGCAGTGTGGGTGACTTCCCTGGGTTTTAGTGGGGACCAGGCCGGCCAGGTACATGTCAAGGACAGGAGCTGCAATTGCGTGCTGCTCTACTACTGTGTGGATTTGCATTCACAAGTGCTGGGAGGAAGTGATCTGAGATCACTTCCTCTACGTGCTGCAATGCATAAATTGAGGATTGTCCTTCACCACCTTTTCGGATTAGCAGACATCTGAAGTTTTACTGGGACTCCTGATAGGCCAGAGCCTGTTTGGCTCTAGCAGCCTTGAGTGCCGTGCATGGCACTAGTGCCATAGGTTGCCTACCCCTGGTTTAGATAATGTCAAATGATAGTATTAGAACCTTCGGCACTCTCATAATGCTCTTACAGCCATAATGGTGGCAAAGCATCATGGAAGATGTAGTCAACAATATCGGGAGTACTGAAGGTTGCCTATCTCTGAGTTTCTGTTGAGTTTTTTTGTGTGAGAAAACTGATGGCAATACAGGTGTAAGGAAATTACTAATTAGCCAGACTTAACGTACATCTCTATAAGGTTCATAGTGTTCGATGGTAAATACTTATGGCACAAATTGAGTAATTCTGTGATTTAATTTACAGCCGTTCGGAATTGATGTTGGACTACTTATATGTAGATGCGTGTATCGTGATATTTTGGTCGTGAGGAAATCAGCGTGTCATCTTATGAACATGTTATGATCTGTACATGGTGCTAACAATGCATATAAAAAAAAAAAAAAATTTTTTTAAATCAACATTTACAAAAAATCTTGTTTTTTTCCCTAAACTGTAACTGTAGGCAGTAGACCGCGGAATTGCATTTTGGGGCAAACTAGCCAAGTCAAAAAAATAGTTAAGTTAAAGAATGTCTCCAATTTGGGAATGTTGACCTAAAATTTGCAATTCCTTTGGTCGCTTCCTGACAGTTCCCAATTTTCAGTGTGTCATGTGATCCAGTCTATGCAGCACAGATTATGTTATCGTCAGTGCTGCAAAAATTATTCACACTGGTTAAGGCAGAATATATTTTTTTGGTGTGTCTTTTTAGTATTTGAAACTAACCCTAGCCTATATTTAGTGCAACTTAGACACCCACTTTGGCTTAATAGTTTTGTGGAGATGTGGTTAAGTTCACCTGAATCTCACACCATGCCCGAGGCATTCAGTATAACAGTCCATAAACTGCTGATTTGTCACTGTCCGCTGTTGCTACTTTTTTAAAGCCATATCTATGGACTGGATACTAATCTCATGCAAGCTCTACCAGTGCTTAATGTTTGCAGTTACTGTTGTAGATGATGTGTGAAATGGTTCTAACTGAAGTTCTTTACACATTCAATAACGTGTAGAGATTATGTAATTAGAGAATTATAAAGCGGACTTGCCATCCTTTGAAATGATGGATGAAACATCAGCTTCAAGAAAGCGTACAAGGTAATCTGTACTTTGTTCAAGTTAAATTTGTCAGTACTTGTATAGATTATAATATCCACTTCTGACTGTTTGCATGTATTGGCCTGTTCCCAAATTCTTTAGTGCGGTATCCCACAAAAAACGGTACGTGAGTGCTAACCACTGGGATGTCACATTAAAGCATTTGGGGTTTTCTACATACCTGTAGTTGTTAACTTGGGATAGAGGCAATCACTAAAGCAAATTTCAAAGAACATTCAAAAATGCATATTCAAATGAGAGACACTAAAAAACATACCCCTCATTACACTTCACACTGATTAGCACATGTTCTGCAAGTTACAAGGTAGGGCCTCCATGAATCTTTATTTTGGCTCCAGCACACAGATGTTCAGTCAGACTGAGATCTTGGGAATTTGGAGGCAAAGGATACACCTTAAACTCTTTTGTCATGTTCCTTACACCATTCCTAAACATTTGCAGTGTGACAGGGTGCATTATCCTGCTGAAAGAGGTCACTACTACCCCAGAACACCATTGACATGAAGGTGTGTACGTGTTCTGCAGCAATCTCTAACATCCATATGAATGCCAGGACCAACGGTTTCCTAGCAGAACATTGGCCAGAGGATAACACTGCCTGGCCAGCTTGTCTTCTTCCCATAGTGCATGTAGCTGTCATCTCTTCTCCAGATAATGACGCATGCACACGGCCTATTATCTGATCTAAAAGGAAACCTGATTCATAAGACCAGGCAACCTTCTTTCATTGCTCCCTGGTCCAGTTCTGACACTCACATCCCCATTGAGGTCACTACTGGCGATGGACAGGGGTCATCGTGGGCACTCTGACCAGTCTGCGACTACACAGCAAACTACAATGCATTGTGTGTTTTGACACATTTCTGTCATGGCCAGCATTACGTTTCTAAGCATTTTGAGATACTGTAGCTCTTCTGTGTGATCGGACCAGATGAGCTAGCCTTCGCTTCCCATTTGCATCAATAAGCCTTGGACTACCATGATCCTGATGCCAGTTCACTAGTTGTCTTTCCTTGCATCACTAAATATAGGTAAAAGTGTAAAAAATAAAAAAAAAGTCTTGCCTTTCACTCTTGATAGGAGCAAAGTCCTTGATTCTGCTACAAATCAAACAAATAAAGCAGAGTTAATCAGTGATAAATACAAAAAATGAGTGAAGGCATAGTGTGTCTAGTACACTGAAACTTAAAGGGACACTATAGTCACCAGAACAACTACAGCTTATCTACTTTAGATAGATGTATGCTACAGAAAGGTGCCTATAATGCCAACCTTAAAATGGACACTATAGTCACCAAAACAACTACAGCTTATTGTAGTTGTTCTGGTGAGTATAGCATGCCCCTGCAGGCTTTTTAATGTAAACATTGCCTTTACAGAAAACTACAAAAACCACCTGGATCTGGGACCCTAGAACCCTTTAACGATGAACTATCTGATAGAACCTCATCTTTTGTGATCTTAGTCCACAGAGAGGGCAGAAAATCCCCCTATATCTTGGAAAAGATTAGGGTCTCAAAAGAGTGGAGAGCAGCTGCATGATCTAAGTTGCTCTCTGAAAATTTTGATGAGTGATTATAAAGGTTCTAGTAGAACTATAACTGATATACTTAGGGGACAATAATGAGGTAGCCCTCTATTCTTAACTGCTAGAATAGTTGTAGTTTTGGACTAGGACATTGTGTAACAATTATTTCAGAGATCCTAACACCACGCTTGGTTCTAATTTTGCAGTTTAACTCACAAGTCTAAGGAGTGTACATATGCAGGAGTTAAAGCAAGCGTTGTTGTAGCGATATTGAGTTAATCTCTGTATTATCTATAATTTGCATCAATATTTGAGTGGCTAAAAAGAGATCAATTCTAGAGCAAGCACTGGGTGGAGTAGAGTAAAAAGCATGACCCACTGTACTTGATTTATGAACCTTCCAGGCATCAACGATTGTATATAAAAAATTTGCCATGACATCTTAAGAGAATGGAGGGCACCCCGATTAGCGCTTCTGTTTATCGCAGGACATGGCTTAGCGTTAATGTGCTCTCCCCTTAAAGATAATAATGCAACTTGCATTCCACCATGGCAAGAATTGCATCTCAAAATAATGGGCATATAGATAAAGAAAATAAAATGTGTGGCAATTCAGTCCTGTATCAAGAACATCTCTACTCTTGTCCTTATTACATAGAGTACATGAGTGAAGGGATACATCTAAAGCATGTTTTTTGTATGAGACAATTGCCATGGACATAAGCTCTGTTGTGAATTGTGTCAGTTTATATTGGAGATTCTCGGAACATGTGTCTCTTGGATGAATGCAGTATCCAGGCATTTTTTAATTATCAAAGTTGTAATCTGAGAAAAAAAAATGTAATTTTTTTTTTTTTTTTTAGAACCATTATGTCCTTTTGCATTAATCAACACTATCCAAAGGGTCACAGCGTAGTAACGTGTAAGTAGATCTATTGGTTGGTGCCTAAAATGGCTTGACCGATGTGTTAGTGGGAGCCAGTGATGCCCCCCTGAGCACCCGTATGCACAGGAATCCAGCAGTGACCAGATATTGGTAGCAAATCACTTAAAAGTTGCATAGAACAGAGGACGTAGCTTTATACAGCAAGCACCACCAACCCTTCAAAGTAGCTGGTCATACGTCTTGGTAGACTTGCATGGTGTGGTATCTTAGAATTGGATGTAGAATTCTCTGTTCTGTTGTACATTGGCCTCATTTTGTTTTGAAAGAAGTGAAATCTTGACTTCTACTTCTTTGGAGAGGTGAGCCTGCAAGGCCCCGTACTATTAATGTATTACCTAGAAATGATCTGGAATGTAATGGAGCAAAATAAAGGAGCAAATTTTGTAACTGGGAAGTTTATAGACTTTATGGTAGGCATCTGACGTATATGGTTTTTGTGCCTGGAGAGATCTTCCTAAACACTTTCCACCTGTTGAGTAGTCCATTGTATCATTATGGGCCTTTACTAATTGGTCAACATGAGTTTCCAGTTCGGTGGTGTGTTGGCCCAATGCCTTGCTTTTGTCCTTGATCTCCCTAGACTCTCGGGCAATTTCTTTAGATAGAAAATATTTAGGGTGGCCCATATAGTGCAGGATGTGAGGCTGGACTTTTCTCCTGTCCCTCTGTAGCATTAAGGCTGTCTCTGTGTGCTGCTCTTCCCCAGCACCATCTTGGCTTGTGTCATGAGGTTTTCGGGCTGTAGTGAACAGGGATGCCTCTGTTGAATCTCTTCTCTTTGGCCAATTTTTCTGTAGGTTCTTAGAGCACATGATGTTTCCCAGCTGATACACACCACTCTGCATTTTCAGTGGGAATATTGTGAGGTGCGAATATGCTTACACAGTGCTTTAAGTGGGGCTACAAAGCTAAGCAACCATACACTTTGTTGTCCAAACCACACCCATTGGAGATTTTCAAATATTTATTCAATTATGTATTTTTCAGAAAAATAAAAAGTAATAAGTAGAAATGATTTTTAACAGAAACTAAAATCATCAATGGGTTACTGCAACCAGCATGCCCACGTCAGTGATTTCAAGTGGTCATGGTGGTAGGAGTCTGGATGTGCAGTGTTTTTGTTTCAAACACTGCACATCCAGAGTTATTGTTAATTGTGTGCTAGTTACACCCCCAGCACATGTGACATAGGCAACCCAGAACTCTGTTCCGGGCTGCCCAATGTAAATTTTTCCCGTGGCACCTGCAAATAGAAGATTGTTTTCACCTCCGTCCTTTGATCCTACTTTATTTTTAAATAGTAAATCCCACCCTCCCTATCAAAAACAATCCCCTCCTGGCGAAACGGCCCAGTCAAAGGCTGAGAATTAGGCCACACTAGTGTTGGGAGACGCCATGATGGGGTATGGAAGAGCAATGCTGGGACCTTTGCCCGAAACTGGATTAAGATTAGTTTAAAACTTTTCCCACAGGGCATCTGTAATATAAAAATTTTTATTTTTATTTTCAGGGCTAGAGTAACCTTTTAAGCTTTTATTATCGTCACGTAGTTTGGAAAAGAAAGGATGACAATTCATTGTCCATTTTTATTAAATAATTGATCATTGTTAAAAACTGCCGTGTACCAGTTCCGAGTGAATAAGGTACTACAGAGCACAACGGCTTGAATCGGAATGTATGAAATCATTATGCTCTCTGTAACAAGGCACAGGAGATTTCCATACCTTTTGTAACATGTATAAAAATAGCAAACCTTTATTGTGCTCTGAAAAATACTGGGTTTCTAAAAACAAGTTTAATTTGCATCAGGCCAGATGGATTTACCCAAATTGTTGCTGTAGACTAACATCAGCATGTATCTGTTCCACATTCTGCTATTTTAACACATTTTAATTAATGTTTGCATCATGGGCTTATGGTGTGTCTTTTTGTTTTTTATTTCTAAGATTTCCTATGAGAAAGAAAGAGAGAAATAAATAAAAATAAAAAATAAAAATATATATATATATATATATATATATAATATATGTGTGTGTGTATGTATGTATGTATGTATGTGTATATATGTTACATCTTCTTGGAAGTGGCCCATAGCAATTAGACACACGTTTAGCCCTGCAGTCTAAAACATTGATGTTTAGTAGATACAGAAATATTTGAATGGCAGGCCTAACACACCTTTAATGGCTATCTTCCTGACCGCCAACAGAGGTGTTTCTGCTCTCATAACGATGTTTCTCTTGGTTATGTGATATTCTGCGTCCTCACACATTGCATGAATATGTTGAATGTCATCAAATGCTAATCCTAGGAAAGCAATTGATTCAGTGTTTCCCCGTGAGAAGCATTTGATTGGACATGCACCAGAATCTTGCCGCACATGTGCTTCTCACCCCTTGGATTCTCTGAGAAGCATCGGATTGGATAAGAAGGCAATAAAGCGACGTCTGCCGAATGATGTAAAAACCTTTTTATATTGTTTTTTTAGTCGCATTTAAGTTAGGAGAGCACTCTAATCTAAACAGTAAAGGGACGTTCTAGCGTTAGGAATACATGTTTGTATTCTAAATGCAGTTTATAAATGCCCTAATAATAATGAGCTATTATTTAACATTAGCTTGCTAATCTCCATATTTAAAAGGATGCTCCGTACTAGAGGTTATATGGGAAACTCATCTAGATTTAACCAGACTGTTTTCAAGAAATTTGACAAAATCTAGGGAAATTCCATGACTCACCCTGTCTGTAGCAGGAAACATCATAAAAATGAGGAAGTTCACTCCCTCGTTATCCATCTGCATATTGGTACGTGCACAAATAAGTGAGACTTAAAGTGAACCTGTAGTGAAAAATGTAAACTTCCCTTAAATGCTCCCATATAAATTACATATATCACAAAGGTTTATGATGTATTCAATGTAAAATATAAAAATTTATTCACCTTTTCTCTGTTCCAGTGCCGCTTCGAGAGTGTTACTCGTCATGTAACACCCACCTCTGGGCCATCTTCCGTTTACCCTGCTCTCTTCTTTTATTTTCCCTGCTTGGGTCGCATCCCTCAGTTTCTTCACTTACTAGCTGGCGCTAGAAGTATCCTTTGCAACCGCAGCGCATGCATGGCGGTTGCTATGCTTGGGAGAACAGAAGGACCTCCTGTGGGATGGTCTTTGCTGCTCTCCCTTGTCAGTCAGTGCCTCGGAATTCAGTGTCAAGTGCCAAGGCATTGAGTGACTGCTGGGAGAGAAACTCATTCTAAATAGGCTTTTCTTCCAAACTATACATCTGCTAGCATGCTTGCACAGTGTGTGGATGAAATATCATGTTCTTTCACAAGAGCATAAATGTAAAAATTTCACTACAGGTACTTATTAAGGCCAAAATAGCAGACCTGGAAAAGTTTGGGGAAAGTAGGCCATGGTTCTAGTTAAGTTAATTTTGGCCTCAGATTTTGAATTCCCTGCAATTCCCACTGTAACAAGACTTTGATATTGATGTTCCTGACTGAGGGTGATCGGAGTAGTGATCATTTTGAAGTATGACAGTTGATGTCTCTCGGCGTATTCACTGTAGGCCGTGGATGGCTATCAAGCCTGGAGGAGCTAGCCTCACAGCCTATCACTGCCATTCAAGCTTGAATAAGCCTGTACAGATAACGTGATATGACGGGTGCGAGATGGAAATTGTAAATAGACTTTAATATTTGTGTTTCTGCTTATTCTTGCAATTATAACAGGTTCACTTTATATTAAGATTTGCTTATCAAGTATATTTGTTATAAATTACATTGCTTTAAAAGTTAAAACACATTCAGCTTTTGTGCAAAGTCAGTATATTTACTGCACAATGTATAGTTGAAATCAGGGTGGATAAAATCATTTATTTATTTTTTTTTTATTCAGATTTTTCTGTTTGTGTTCAATTGGATAATTTTTAATTAAAATTTAGATTTCATTTTATAAAATTTTTCAGAGCAAAATACCTTAATTCCTTTGTTATTCTTCAAATCTGTGGACACTCCTTAATTTAAGGTGTTCTCCAAACATATTCACGTTACAATAATTTCATCATCAATGTATTTCTAATAAAAGTAACTTAGACACATCAAATGTGACGGCAGATATGAACCATTCGACCCATCTAGTCTGCCTAATATTCGAAATAATTTCATTAGTCCCTGGCCTTATCTTTATAGTTGGGATAGCCTTATGTCTATCCCACGCATGCTTAAACTCCTTTACTGTGTTAACCTCTACCACTTCAGCTGGTAGGCTATTCCATGCTTCCATTACCCTTTCTGTAAAGTAATACTTCCTGAAATTATTTTTAAACCTTTGTCCCTCTAATTTAAGACTGTGTCCTCTTGTTGTGGTTTTTCTTATTTTAAATATATCCTACTCCTTTACTATGTTGATTCCCTTTACGTATTTAAATGTTTCTATCATATCCCCCCTGTCTCGTCTTTCCTCCAAGCTATACATGTTAAGATCCCTTAACCTTTCCTGGTTTTATCCTGCAATCCATGAACCAGTTTAGTAGCCCTTCTCTGAACTCTCTCTAAAGTATCAGTATCCTTCTGGAGATAGTGTCCAGTACTGCTTTGCCAGCATTATGGCTATAAGAGCATTATGGTAGATGGAGTCCACAACATCTGGAGTGCCGAAGTTGCCTAACCTTGCAATTATGCATTATTATACACAGTGCATATAAATAATAAGCAAACCTATTGTACATGTTAGAGGGTGTTTACAGAATTATTTCTGTGATTTACTCAATAAGGTGATCAGTACAAAAAAAAGAGTAGGGTCTGCTCAATTTTAACTATGTAATTTCACAGGGAATTCTGTTGCTTAACGGTTAGTCTCTAATTGTGTGCAGCTACAATAATAAACATCAGCATAGTTAAATGTTAACATGCAAAAGAGATTGTCTGGGTCAGCAGAATGAAGATACCAGACTAATCATTCCTGGAACAATAATGTACCTGTCACAAAGTGGTCAATTGGGGTCATAGCATTGCAAACAGTCCTAATGTTTGCTTTCTAAATACATTTAAAGCGACATTGACAGGTTTCTTTGCTCATGACATTTAAATCTTTATAATCCCCTGCTCACACTAGGTAGACCCAGGTATCAATCAATACCTCCGCTCCCCTCTGGCAGCTGGGGACACATTTAGCGACCCTCAGCTTGATCCAGCAGCCTGTCTTGGCAGGTGCTCAAGGAAGCATTTATGGGGGCATGCTAAGAGAAACACTTAAATTTCAGTGGAACAAACAAATTCTAGATTTTTTTTTTTTTTTTGTGTCCAGGACTTAAAGGATTCAGATCCTGGTGGTTTCCCTTTGAGAACCCACCAGTATTTGGTTCTGGACTGCTCTTATGGGTGGTATCAGGCTAATATGCTAATAGTATAGGTTCTCTTGTAATGGCAGAAGAGAGCAAAACGTTTTTGAGACCTGAGCAGGGATTTACTAAAGGGCAAGCTACTGAGTTTCTCTAAGATTCTGCCCATCGTCAACGTTCTGATATTCTCTGTTTTTGTTGCTCTCTCTTGAGGGCCTGGCAGCCAAGAATCACCGCGTCGGAGTGCAGTCGCTCAGCAGTGGTGTTCTCAATGCATTTAAATGGCTCTTTACCGTGCTCACTTTGCTACATGCAGCCCATCAGTAAGCCTACTAAAAGTAGTCACAGGGGATTTAAATGCCCATTTAAAGAGCTGCATGTAAGGCTCACTCTGACCACTCCATACAGCTCATATATCCATCTGGGCCACTAAATGTGTCCCCAGCTGACAGGGGAGCCCCATGTATCGATTGATTCCTGAGACTCCCTTGTGTGAGCAGGGATGTAACTAGGCTCACACCAAAATTTAGGACGTTTCAATACTTCCGAACGGCGTCAAAGCCAAGTATAGTTAGGACATGCTCTAACATCATGAAGTGGTTAACTTTCCATTCCATTCGTATACATGAGGCTTCCATTAGCCCTTCTAAACTAGGCAATGTAGTGCCAGCTTTATCAAATTGTAGAGAGCTTCCGGCTCTCATTGAGGAAATGACTGGCACCTAGTAGACCACAGGTAAGTTGTCACACTATTTGCAAACTGTTTAACTATTTACCCTGGGAGGGTGCCAATGCACTCCTGGCACTATGACCACTACAGCATGCTCTAGTGTTATGGTGCTTGGAGTATTCATTCAAAGTAGGTGGAATGTTTGTCAGGGTACAGTTAACTATGCTTAATTGTTGAGGGTAACTCTCAGAAACCTTGTCAGTAAAACGCTGTTTATGGCATAAGCTCATCAGTATGATAAAAACTAGAGGTTTCTTCCTGGTTTGGTGAGCGCTAACTTCACATGTTGCAATGCTTGGCGTTTTAAACTCAACGTGACTTTAAATATTTTTTTATAAAATTTGTTTTGATATTGGTAATGCACTAGTTTTATAATACATTAAATAAAGGCGTGGGCCACATTTAGACTATAGCTTGCCCAAATAATTCAATATTTAGGATCACTCGGAACGTAAGAGTTATCGTCTAGGGATCTTTTTCTGTTCTTACTGTAGTCTCCATAATTACATTCACTGGCGCACTACATTTAAATTCTAATGGACTCGTTGCCTTTCCCAGATAATTTATAGTACAACACAATCTGCTAAATTGAACACATGGCAATAATTACAGAGCTGAGGATTTCAATTCTAGATGAGAAATATTTGCAGAGTATAGCTCGGAATGGTGGGGGGGGGAGGCAGAGGGGCAGGAGAAGTTGTTTTACATTTTGTTTCTACTGAGGAACGATTACAAAGTGTAAGGCCTAGAGTCCATTATTGTATTTCTCAATAATATAAGTCAATGCCCAATTGAATTTTGCTTTAATAATTCCCCCATCCAATTGTGCTCTTACTGTGATGCTACAACCCACTTTCTGATCAGCCTTCACATTTCTTGTCTATAATTGTAAACTTGCACTTTTTTTTCTGGCTGACCTCCTCCTACATCTCTTCAAATATGTCCTAGGAGAGTGTATGTCACTGTGTGAGCATGCATGCATGTTTCATATGAATGTCTGTTCCATACCTGCAGTGTGTGAGAGTTTCCGTGTATCTGTAACAGAACTAGAGGTCTCGAACCAATGAGCAAAGGGGCCACAAATCTTTTTCAACTCCCATCCTCTCTCTAGGATGGCTCATATTGTTTGTCTTTATGAAGACTGACCGCCTGCCACAAAGGTTATGTTGAAAAACATGGGTATCAAACTCCTTTCTAATGAAATGCCTAATTATATTTTTAAGGGGAAATCTAAACACCATAATCTCTACAGCTAATTGTAGTATTATATGAGCTATACACCTATGGGTACTGTCAGATTTTGTATTTTATTTCTTGTTTGTTTGGTTTTTTTTTTTTTGCAGTTCAACAATGGGAACCAGTTAGCTCTAGAACAGTTAATGATTTTTGATTTATGTGCCTAATTTCTCAACCCCAGTTGTTGTATATTGGCAGGTGCTTTGTACGCCAGGGATGATGCATGTCATATCGGAGAAGAGCAGCTCCAAAGATTACTGCATTTTGTTTAACCCCTTGTGGGCAAGTCTACCTCAGGACCTGGCTAAAGCGGTACGTACCTTTTTTAATCTTCTATGCCAAACCATTAACTGCCAGGGCTTTACACTTCTTTATGATGGCTATTTTAATAACAGCAGCACTCGTGTGGTGCGTTTTTATATGTGACCTCCATACACATGCCTTTTACACAGGACAGTGATGGAAAAACCTGAATTATCGTACAGTTGTATGATTTATCTCTCCAGAATGGAACTGCCAGCAGTAGAACGTGATACACCGTATTGTTTCCAGCAGTAGTGCGTGATACACCATATTGTTTCCAGCAGTAGAAAGACCTCTGCCACAGGGCGCCATCAGATGTGTTGAGTCTTACACTCTTACAATGGTTAAAACCATCTTGTCACAGATGCTTCTCTGTTTATGAGAAGCCACTGTTGCTTTGGATATAGAATTCTCCATTTCTGAGTACAAGGAACTGTTCCTCTGCATTTCTGCTGACGCTTTTTTGATTATATGGTCCTATGTGTGGTAATGTCAAGCCATGTTATTGCAATTGGCCACCCAGATTGAGGGTGCCATGACGGCTATATTAGAGTCTTGGGTGTTCTAGTAAATTTGAATTCAGTCTAGAATTAATTGACAACATTGTAACAGAGGTGTGGCAGTGGTTCCTATTTTAGACACCTACACTTGCATCCATTCTGTCTTCATGTTCTTAAAACTTGGGTATGGAATAGAGACACTGTATTAAAGGAACACTTTAGCTTTTTGAATACAAATATTTAATTTATAGAGCAAGCATGTCAAACTTGCACTCCACAATGAATATATTTGCGGCCCGCCTGCCCTGTGGCTGCTTTGTGCTCTGGCTGCAACCAACCGCAAGACAAGAAGAGGGGACTTTCCTGTGTAGTGTATTAAATTAGGGAGGGGCATTGTATTAATTTGAGGGAGGGAGCAGTATATTAATTTGGCAAGGGTGGGGAGCAGTGTATAAAACTAGGGGAGGGAGTGGGCACTGTATTAATTTGAGGGATGGAGGGGGCCAGTGTATTAATTTGAGGGAGGCAGGGGGGTGCAGTGTATTAATTTGGGGAGCGAGGGGGCAGGGTTTTTTTTGTTTTTTGGGGGGGGGATAGGGAGGGGAGCAGTATTAGAGTGGTGATAGGGGGACAGTGTATTGGATTGGATTTGTGGGCAGTATGTTAGAATGGGGGGAGGGGCAGTGTAATAGATTTTGTCTGCATGGAGGCGCTGAACGCTCCCCATGGAGCTGATGATTGGCAGCGCAGCGTTTTGCCACATGTGCACAATAGCCTCCGAATGCTTCCCTATGGGAAAGCATTGGATTGGCTGACGTCATCAAGTTTGATGATCTCAGCCAAAGTGAAGAACACCCTCATAGGACTTCAAAATCAACAAGATAACGTAATTTTTTTAATTTTTTTTACAGCGTTGCAACAGCATACATTCACCATTTCAGTCCCATTACCAAACGTTTCTTAATATTTCAAAGTAGTTGGACTGAAACATTGGCTATATGCAATTGCACGTCTCCTTAAAATAAATTTGCACTTTTGTTTACTTTGAAGCTCTACGAGCATCAGGATGTCCAGTGTCAGTTAGGCGACATTTTTTATACTGTACTTTTCAAAGTAAACCTACGTTTCTATGAAAACTGAAGTTTTATTTTTTATTTTTTTGGCCTGTATTAGCCTTTGAGTTTGACATGCTTACGCTAGAGTATTTAATTATTATTGGGCCCCTTGTATACATTTTTTTTTTTGTAGTTTTTTTAAATGTGCAGCACCAATGAACTTTGACTCACATAGATGCCTTAACTTCATGCATCTCAATGAGGAGCATTCAGTATCCCTAACATTGGTCCTGCAATTTTTGTAGGAACACATTCAGGAAATCCCTCTAGTGGCTGTCAGAGTGACATCTATTAGAGGCGGCCTTAGGCAGCAATGTAAACACTAGCTTTTCTCCTATAAGGTAACTTTTACACTGCTCAGCCAGCAGGGACAAGCTCTTGTCCCCACCCTCTATATTAAGTTGAAGTGGGTCTAGTGGTTCAGTTCTGCTGTTTCTGTATGGTGACTGCACACAATGCCTCACCATTTCTTGTTCAAGATTCTACGTCCTTAGCTCTGATATCCTGTGAGCTGTGATATCCTGACTGGAGTAATTAAAAGGAGCATGCATCTATGGTTTGTATTCTGCTTTTCCAGTAGGGGTGATCCTAAATCCCCCAATAAAGAATTTTCCTGGGCTGATCGCATACAGAGAGAAACTAATTTATGGGGTAATCCTACAATTTGCTTCTAATAGGATTTTTAACATTACACCCGATCTTCGTATCCCAGGCTTTGTTGCAGCTTGAAGACCAGACAACGTCTGTACTATGCTCTCCAACAGATGTCCCAGACGGAGGCTTTAATAACCGAATCCTCATGGTAATGCGAGGGAATTGCACTTTCTATGAGAAGGTTCGGCTGGCACAGATCAATGGGGCACGAGGGTTGCTTATTGTGAGTCGGGAGAGGCTGGTATGTATCCAGATTTAAAGCCGTACAACATTTTATTTTATTTTATTTTTTGTTATTTTAAGTATTAAGTATTGTTAATTAATAAAAAAATATGTTGTGAGGTAACGCTGTAAATTAAACAAGGTTTTACTTGGTAACTTTTGAACAATGCATATAACAGCAACATTTTATCAGAAATACATTGTCTTGTACCCTGTGCCTACGTTTCCTTGCCTTTCAGTTGTAATTGGTTTTTGTTGTTGCTGCTCGATATTTCATGTCATGGCTTCTTTTCACATGACTAATTGCTCCCAAAGGACCAACAAAATATCCCTGATGTGAAGCAGAGGAAATCTTTCCCACATGTCGTACCATGTGGCCTATTTATTTATTGATGGGGTTGGGATTATTTTTTTTAAATTTGTTTGTGTGTGTATCTTGCTCTGTCAAGTATTTTCCGATTTTTAAAGCCTAACATGCTGTGTTTAATTGAAGGTCCCTCCTGGAGGTAATCGAAGCCAGTATGAAGAAATTGATATTCCAGTGGCCCTCCTTAGTCACAGTGACATGATCGACATTGGTAAGGTAAGAAATAAAGTTTTGGTTACATGGAAGCAGATCACATTTAACCCCTTAAGGACCAAACGTCTGGAATAAAAGGGAATCATGACATGGTTAAAGCACTGGTATGGTTTCGAGCCATTGCAAATATATATACTCAACACTCTTGAGATGGAATGCTGTGCAGTAAGAACTGAAATTACTGTAACAGGCAAACTGCCAGCTCTGTCGTCAAACTCTTGATTAGATTTTCTGTTTAGCTTGACACAGAATAGATTCCTTTTGCCATTTTGGTAGCCAGCAGCCAGTGATTCCGCAGAGATACAGATCTTCTTACAGCAATAAACACTTCTAAAATGTAACTTTAACGAGACATGGTTTAAAGGCAGTACAGAACATGCCAAGTAAATTGATGGAATCTGCTGCATATCTTTTTATTTACTACAGCATATAAAGAAATTAGAATCTCATATAAACAAATTGATTATTATATAAATGTGTTTGAGGATGATGAGCTGGGAATGGTAGTTTTGTTTTGTGGATAAGTCGAACTAGTCAGGGGCCGCAGACACATACGTTTGCAGTAGTCAAAACAGGAGATGTTGAGGAAACGTGTGGAATAAGTTGATGCTATATAAATGGCAATAATAATTGATCGTAAAGTAGAATTCTGGTGAAGGAGTGTAAGAAAGCTTAAAGGAGCACATCACGCTCCGTTACCACCTGCTGCAGAGCTTATGGAGCCTGTAGTACCCTACCATCCTCACAGACCATTTTAAGAATAGATTGTCAGCTTACCTTGGGTCGATGGGCGCCTGTTGCCCCAGCCAATGAGCGCAGCCCTGTACGACCAGGCTTGGTTTAGTGCCCGTGGCCAGGTAATGGCAGATGCTTGGTGGGTCCCAGGTAATTGCCAAACTGTTCTTAAACAGATTGAATTCTTACTCTGGGGGGAATCCCAGGGCTGCCCTGGCACCATAACCACTACTTTTGGGTATAATGGTTATGGTGTTTGGAGTATTCCTTTTAAGTAAACCAGCATGTGATCACTTTAATAGTATAATTGTATTTGCACAAATATAGTAGTGGTGTATAGATACACTGGAGCTCTATGGTAGAGGTCCGCAAGCCACCATTAAATCCACAGGCATCACAACGTAAGGTGAAGAAATAGGCAATTTATTATGGTCCAAAGACAAAATAAAGATACAATGTTTCGGCCATGAGGCTTTAATCTTGTAGGTATTTACACATGGTTTTACCTACATATTTACTAGAACTTTAGGCTATATATTTTTTGTTAAATAATTCAGCATTTTTACCTGTAAGTCCAGTAAACAATATGCAGATCATGAATAAAACTGTGTGCGCACAACCTCAGCTATTCAGTAAACATGTGGGGAAACCAGTCTTGCCCCATATAAATCCATAGATTGGGAAATTGAAAACACTTTTTTTTTTTTATAAATGTATTTTTTTCTTCCCTAAAGTTTTGCAGTTTTCCACAAAATTTCTAGTTTAATGAATACCTGACTGTGTGTCAGAATTCTGTTGTATTTTTTTTAATTTAATTTTTTAAAGGTTGGCATAGATTTAAAAAAAATAAAATTAAAATAACTACTGCGTAAGTAGAAATGGATTCCTGTGCATCCTTTGGCTGAAAGACACAATTCTAGAGTTCTGCTAGGTAAATATTCTATTTTATACATTTGGTGGCATCAAGAATAGGATCTGAATAATCCCTAGATACCGTGCACAGATGTGAGAATTTAAACCTGGATCAGACAAGTAAAAACGACAAGTAAAAACGATGAGCATAAACACAGAAATAAAGTTTCCATTGCTAAATTATTCACTAAATTCCAAATTCTAGTGAATTGGTACCTAAAATTCCTGATTTGGAGAAATCCAAAATCGTGTTTTAGCCTCCATGTTACTATTTTGACTTCAATGTTTAGTGACTAAACCCCTTTGTTGAGAGAGTTAGTAGATTAAGTGAATGAAGTGGAAAATATATGATGTTCAGCTAAATTTTATAAGAGTTCCATTAGTTTTAATCTTTTAATTTGTTGGGTTCATACAAGTTTTAAATGTCAGATGTATAACACATGTGCTTGCCAATTTACTAGATTAATATAAATGACAATTCGAAAAATAAAACTGGATTGTACATATTATACATGACAATCCTCATCAGATATATATAAATAATATATATAATATCAATACATACTATTTTAGAAGACAATTAAAGGTTAACCAAAAACTCCGTTTTTTTTTTTTTTTTTGTTTTTTGTTTTTAAATAACATAATGGCTGTAGTTAGAGTAACCATTTATGAGGTGGTCTGCACCCCACCCTCCCACCAACTAAAAAAGGTGCACTGTCTTGAGAGGCTATTTTAGTATAGCATGGGTCATTTAAGGTTTTATCATTTATACTAGCAAATTTGACTCTATATTGTTCTCGGTTTCAATGGAGAATTTGTTATTTGCTGGAAATAAAATCACTGTGGATATTTAAAATAGCTGCAACTTATATTTTTTTATCTTACAGTTTTCACCACTGTAATTTAAAAAAAAAAATTTATTTGCTGTTATTTTTGGGGTTAAAGAGAAAAATGTGAAAGTATCATGAAATCTAGAATTCCTTTTAATCTATAAAATATTGTACAATTTAAGTTTGAAATAAATAGATTGAAATCTACATGAATGTGCATTTGTCCTATTTAACTCAGACGTTTGGACGGGCAGTGAAAGTTGCGATGTATGCGCCAAAAGAACCTGTCGTGGACTACAACATGGTCATTATTTTCGTGATGGCTGTCGGAACAGTCGCCATTGGTGGCTACTGGGCTGGAAGTCGTGATGTGAAGAAGTAAGCATAATCTCCTGCACCGGTACCTGTACAGACTTTAAATTGGGGAAATATTTTAACCCAACAACTTTCCTAAGGCTCCTTTCCCACACATCTTACATTTGTTACACAATTAAAGGGGAGCTGTCACTTCCCATGACTTCTATAATTCTTTTTAAAGGTGTTTAAAAATTGCTCACCTCACTATCACGTAACTTGGAGCATCCATCTTGCCTTTGTTCAGTCATTGTAATAAGCTCCGTCCTATGTGCCTGGCAGTCAGAATAGAGAAATCGTACATGAAAGAGGAGAAATTAGAAATGTTTGCATTGTTTTTTTTTTTGTTTTTTTTTATACTGATTTATGATGTAATTTTCTAAATCTTAATAAATGTAAAGAAAAACAAAGGTATTATCAATGGTTGCCCATGATTTGAGCTGGGTATGGACTTATAGTCACATTGATGAGAGCAAAGTGTTGCACAGATAGACAAAAAATAGAAAGGTGATGATAACAGAGGGTGCGTCTTGCACTGTAACCTGTAAAAGGATCATGTATTGTTGTTGTATTTGAAGTATACCTGTAGATGTCCTCAACACAGTTCATTAGGGTGTACACCCGGATTAAAAAAAAAAAAAAAAACTACTTATAAAATAAAAGTGCAATGTCTTGTTTTTGCACTGGTGGCCAGGCATATACAGAAAGTTGTGATATATATATTTTTTTTTCTACAAAACATAAGCTATCCTAAACACACACAAAACTGCCCAAAGACATCCAAACCGGTTACAGAAAGGATAAATTGTCCTTACAGCAAACTCCCTGTGAGTATCCCTTTAAATTTTATATTTTTATTTTTTTAGAAGTATTTTAAAATTTTACCCACAGTACATTTACTAGAAAATGTCTTCTGTTATCAATCACTTTCGGTCCATGAACCACAACTGATTGTAGTACAAAACAGTTCAGTTTGACATCACGTGCATGTAGCTCTAGGTTTGGGCCCAGCTCGGAGCATTGGTAACATGATCTCTAAATTATGCTTTGCTGTGCTTTGAACAGGGCCCAATCCTTAACTGTGCATGAGAGTTTATGTTCTAGTTGTAAGGACCTTTGTCTTTGTTTCTTAACCTTCAGACATGGTCCTTTGTTTTTCTACCCTGTTTAAAATGGCTAAACCACATTCTCTTCCAGAAGGTATATGAAGCACAAACGGGATGATGGCGCAGATAAAAAGCATGATGATGAAACAGTGGATGTAACTCCCATCATGATCTGTGTCTTTGTGGTTATGTGCTGCTCCATGTTGGTTCTCCTCTACTACTTCTATGACAATTTAGGTACAGAGACATTTACCACTATGTACATCTACCACTATGTAGTATCACTTTTTTTATAGTGTCCGTTTATTACTGCCACCCGGTCCTCCTTGAGGACTCAACAAAGGTTGAAGAAAAGCTAAAACGTTGTCACGTGAGATGGTATTAGTTGCGGGATTATAATTCATGTTAATTTCTACCTCTTTTACATGAGAAGTCTTGTCCCTGTAGATTGTACAGTGGATATATGTAACAGATACTGCATGTTGAGGAATATCTTGCATAATTCATAGGATGTCCATTATATGTCCTCACAATAGATTTTATAATGTTCTGTGATTTATTGTCCATAACGCTACATAAGAGCTTGAAAGGCCAGTTTGATTAGACTGGATTACGTCAATAGACTATTTGGACAAAAGGTGCAGTTGTCTACGACGAGGCACATATTGTAGAGCTGCTTACTTCTCCTGAGGCTGTTAAACCACTATATAATACCACCTATGTCCAAGCAGATACTTCCATTGTGACTTTCTGTAGAAAAGGTTATCACAAGATGGCATGATCCCATGTGACAGGGACAACCTTTGTTTTGGTGTGTTTTCAGGTTATATTGTTGGAGGTATGGTCTTAGCAAAAATCTATAGAATATTTCACAAATAAGTTATTCATTTGTAATCAGAACATTTTTATTTATTTTATTTGCACATTTGCACAACTTTTCATTTTTAAGTCACAGATCTCCACATCCAACATATTTGTTCACACCAAAGTTTCCGAAACCTTAGAGAGAGGTTCAGAGATTGGACATTCAGGGAGGCTGTCCTTCCTAATGGGGGGACAGTTTGGTGGTGTGTGACTTTTGTAGAACAAGTAAAACCCTTTTTTAAAACAAATGTTCTAGCTGTGTGATTAATGCACATACACCTTTAAATAGCCTAAAATAATGGCTGTTACATTTGAAAGCCTGTCTATGATAAAAACTGTGCTTTCTAAATATCCTTCAAGTATTAACGGTTTATCAGTTGAGAATGTTTCCCCTTTTAGTGGACATCTGGGTTATGCCATCTGGAGCCATTACAGGACATTATAAAGCTTGGGGGCGCATACTGTAATAAGATTATCCAACTGATCTCCATTCACGTCATGTGCATCTTAATAACCAGATTGTAACCTTTTTAGAACTTCCAAATGATGTTTCGATAATCTAGGAAAAATTGGAGAACTGACCAATAAATGTTTTTAAAGATTTTCCTTGTTTTTAACTAAGAAACAGTGGCACAATAATTTTGCTTTAAATCATTATTTATTGAGATAAAAGGATAACTTCTGGGGGATTGACATTTGTAGACTGCGGTAGCTCTGCTCAGTGGAAGTGTCAGGCGTAGGAAATATACTGAGACAAAGTAGTCCCTTCTTTGTCTCAGTATATCTTTTGACAGGGTTCGAATTTCAGTGAAATACCAACACCGTCAATATGAATATTTCATGAAGATTCCATCTCTTATAAAATACTAATTTTGCAGGGGGTTGTGACTGTGTCGCTTTTAGAAAGCATTTTTGGTAACGGAATGGAATTCTTTCCAAAATAACATAACTGTTACTATAGCTAATTTCTTACAAAAAAATTCTATTCACATTCACAATTTGGAGTTTCCTTATCCGCCCTGAAAGGGTAGTGTATTATTAGCCATTCCTCAGAAATATTGGTTAAACAAATGTTTTAAACAAGTCGCCTTAAAAGGGACAGCTTAAAAAGGCCTGAATTGATGGTGGGTTTTTTTTGTATACAGCATTTTATAGTTTTCCCTTTTAAAAGAAATCTGTTAAGAACAATTCAGGATAAATTAATATTTTCTCATTTTCCATTGCTGCATTCTCCAGGCATTGTAATTTATTTAAGAAGCACTATCAAGACCATTAAATAGCCAGAACTGACATTATAGCATTATTTCCTGTACGCCAAGGCTTTATGGGTAGAGCATGGATTTCTGGGAGTTGTAATCGAGTTATCAACATTTTTCTTATGAAGGTTGCTAGCCGAACTACTGAATCAAAAAATACTGCGGGCATGGAGGGATAGTGAGATAGAGTGGTCTTATGCAGCAAAACTACTATTGAAATAGGGGGGTGTGAAATACCAAAACCCCCTTAAAATTAAATTTAAAAAAAGTACTTACCATAGTGAACTGTAACATAACATTGCACAGAATAATTCTATACTGTCAAGTTATCTTTCTGCTGAAAGTGGTTGAGAATATGCAATGCGGACAGATACTTACAACAGATACACTTATTGTGATATGCGTATTGTCTGCCTGGTTGGGTGCACTTCTGAGGCCTTGTGGTTAAATTCGGTGAACTATAGGAGCCAATGGGGCCTGAGCTGTGTCCTCATGTACTGCAGTACAGTATACACTAATTAGGAAGTATTTTAGAATGAGGAGGTGGGACAAATAGGAGAGGGCTACCATGAAACATGCTGCAAAATTGTATTTTTCTTGCGGTCTAATTTAAATTTGGGGAACAAATGCATTTTGGGATAGAAATGAACGCTGTTGCTTAGTGTTGCCCTTGTTCTCTTTGCAGTGTATGTGATTATTGGGATATTCTGCTTAGCAGCATCCATCGGTCTGTACAGCTGCCTGTCTCCGTTTGTCCGCAGACTTCCGTACACTAAATGCAGGTAAGATAACAACACGTCACAGATCTGCAATAATCACCGCAACCAAATTGAATGTTTTTTTTATTTTAGTGTGAAACGTAAAGTAAAATGTGTGTTGTTTACGTTTATTCCTTGCAAGTTACACTGTATTTAAGTGTTTGATTTCTTTGTAGAGTTCCTGATAACAGCTTGCCATACTTCCACAAGCGACCCGCCATTTGGAAACTTGTGTTGGCGTCCTTTTGTATTGCTGTCAGTGTGATATGGGGCGTGTACCGGAATGAAGACCAGTAAGTATCACCGTGGACACAATCAGGAGGAGACAATCGCTGTATACAATGTATTTAGTCCTGCACCATTCCTAACAATATCCTCCATACCTTCCAGATGGGCCTGGGTGCTTCAAGACATTCTTGGCATAGCATTCTGTCTGTACATGTTGAAAACAATACGTCTACCAACATTTAAGGTATGTTAAGAATAACTGATCGGAATTGAAATCAGTTCATCGGCCCCCTTCACCTCCTGTTTTTGTTTTTACATTTCTTGTATCTATGTAGATCATACTTTTTATAATCCATACCCCGTACTATAATTGGTATGCAGTTTGAGGCCATGTTAACACTTTTCATAGAAGCTAGTGTATTTTGATGGATGCCATAGCTCATCCAAGAAACCAAAATAAGGAGAAAGGACGTCAAAATAAATAAATATAAAAAAACACTGGAATCGCATCATGTTGTATAGGGTCTTTGCATGCTCTATGAGGCTTTTAATGTGCTGTTTTATTCTCTATAAGGTATTGTCCAGACATATCTGGGTAAAAAGCAATATGGAGCTGCAACACCAAAGTAAACGACATAGAGCTTTATTCCACATGTGTGGAACCAGCAACATTTGATGAAGGTCCTGTGGCTGGGTCGACACGTTGCCAATTCCATTCAGGTGGAATAAATCTCTTTGTCATTTACTTTGGTTTTGCTGCTCCTTATTGCTTTTTATACTGTTTTTGTAAGGTAACTTGAAGGAGTTCTTGGAGACTTGCACCCAAATCTTGAGTGGAGTGCTGGCACAGTGCACAGTGTTTTGAAAGCACATTTTTTTGCTTTGGAGACAGACTTTCATTTTACTTCGCTTTCATGGAATAGGAATACATCTAGTGCCACGTGGATTCCATACTGAATCCAGCCTCCGTAGGAGTTGCGTTGGGAGTAACGTCAATCATACACACTGACCCAGCTTCCCATCCGGCTCAGGGATTTGGTGACCAGTGATGTTAGGGGACTCTGACGTTTAAATGCACTGTGTGCATTTCCGTGAGAGAAGCTATATAGGATGCATGTGCAGGTTTGGAAATCTTTATTTACTTGATACCAGAAAATAAAAATCACTATAGTTCTCATCTAAAAAGTGTCTGTACAGTAAGGGAAACACTGAAAATTCCACCCTCTAGAGTTACTTTGTTTGGAATGCACTTGGTAAGATGGACCAAGTCACGGTCAGTAAGAGACTATTCCACAGCAAATTCACCCTTATATTATAATCAAATGCCAACTCTTTACATTTGTGTGAGATGAGATTGGAGTGAGGCTCTTACAGAGTTCTAAGTAGTTGTACTGTGGTCTTCAACTAGTGCCATGTTTATACTCCTAAATTATGTCCATAGTACACTTTTTATTTTTATTTTTTATTTTTATTTTTTTTTGAATTCTTTCTTTTATTGAGGTATAGACTTTACGGGTACAGAATAAAGAAAGGGAGACAATAAAAGTCATACAGGATGGGGTATCACAGTTTACCATACAACATCTCCGAAACTTGTCAGCCTCTTTTTTATTTTTAAGTAATGTGTAGTAAAGGCATTATGTAGCGTTAGGTGCCTGCCTGCTTGTGTCAAGGCATAGCTTGTAGTTGGTATCAAGGCACCTTTGAATGTGCTAGTGTTGAGCGTGGGGCCTTAGTTAGGTGAGCTAGGGAAGGTATGTGTGTCTCAGCTGGGTGTGGTCATCTAAGTCGCTAGCTGAGAGTGCAGCATGTAGTGTGCTGTATATTTCAAGCTGTGTAACGCACTCTGGTTGTTAGGAGGGGGGGGTAAAAATGGCTCAATACATATGATTGTTATGAAGGCTTACGGAGCCAGTATTGTGCGGGTTTGGGAAGAGCATGATATTAAGTAGCAGCATTGTTGGAAGGAAAAGGGAGAATAAAAACAGAAATAAAAAAAACAATAACCAACAGCATCAGTATTGGGTATACCCAAGAACAAACGTGGAACGAATCAGGTATGTCCCTTGTCAGGCGCAACAGGTTAAGGGCGTGTGGGCCCTGCTCTGCTGCTGCTTCAGGTTGGTAGGGCAGAGGTTTTCTGAGCCTCTCTTCTAGGCACGAAGGGGGTAATCTCCGCTACGGACCATGTTGGATGGGTCAACTGCTGTGTCGTTAGCGCTGGAAGGCCGAGTGCCTGCAGGAAGGCTGGTATGTCAGATGCGTGAGACAGCTTATGTGTTTCGCCCGCCTTTTCTGCCTGTAGTCGGCGTGGGCCCCATTTGTAGGGGATGGCTTGTTCCCGGAGTAGCTGGGTGACTGGGCGAAAGGACTTCCTCCACATCATGGTGTGTCTGGAGAAGTCTTTGTAGAACGTTAGTTGTGCCCCTTCAAACGCCACCGTGGGGGAGCCTCTTGAAGCCCCCATAATCGTGCCCCTGTCAGAGTCCCGCATAAATTTAATCAGTACGTCACCAGCTCCTTCGCGTGGTGTGGCGGCCGCCCTGGTGAGTCTGAAACAAGAGTCTATTGTGATCAACTTAGCTTGTCTTGGCGTAAGTAAAGTAGCTATCAGCCGTCGGCAATAGTGCGGCAATTCCGAGCCGGTGAGTGTCTCCGGCACTCCACGAACCCGCAGGTTTCTTGCCTTGTATCGGTCTTCCATGCCAGCCAGTTGGGTTTGTTGGTCTGCGTATTGCTTGCGGAGTAAGTTCAGCGCTGCGTCCGTGGCACTTTGCGCCAGTTTAGTGTCCCTCAGGCCCTCTTCCACATTTGCCACTTTATTGGTGAGTGTAGCTACGTCTGCCCTTACTAGCGCCATGTCTGCTTGGAACATAGCCTGAATGTCCTTCACCAAAGCTTTAATATCCGCCTTGGTGGCTGGAGCAGCGTCCCCCATGTCTACGGGTCTCAGTGGCAGTTGTTGCGTGCGGGTCGGCAGTGCAGTCTCTGCATAGTAGCTATCTTCGTCCGAGGATTGTGAGGCATAGATCTCGGGCGCCATCTTGGCTTCAGCAGGCCGCGATGCGGCTCGGAGAAAAGCCCCTATATCTCCTGATCCCATGCCCGGATCCGCCCTCTGCTTCTTGTTCTTCTTCCCCATATTGTCGGTAAGCTGTGAACCGGTTTAGGTGCCCGGTGTGTGCGGGGATTATGGCTCCGAGCGAGTTAATTGAGCGTGTCGCACGGAGCTGTCTGAGGATGCGGCCGGTTAGCTCGGGTGCTGGCTCCGCCCTTATTTTTATTTTTTATTCACCTCTCAATCAGTTAGTAGATACACAACTGGGGTAGCTATTAAGCTAGCACGGACTGTCATAATCACATTCAAGGAGCCCTATTTGTGACATGTCCTCTCTTCCAAAACCACCATCTGCATATAACTCTTTTAGAAAGCATGGTGTTTGACTTTTTGAATAGCTGTAATGTTTACTGATTTATTACTGCTTTGGATTAAAGACCCAGAATACTGTCAAGCATCAGTGAAATAAATAAATACATTGGGTGGGTCTATTACATATCCACAATTATCACTGTAAGTCATTAACATAAGTTCCCAGTTAATAACAAGTACATTGCATCTCAAGCAGTAAATATGTAGACATAATTGTATTTTGCATCCTTACATATTTCTTTGATATTCTCCCACTGATCTGTTCTCTTGTACAGTATCTGATTTTGGTTTTTTTTGTTGTCTCCTCAAACCATGTCCTCTACAGGGATGCACGTTACTCCTGGTTGTCCTCTTTGTATATGATGTGTTCTTTGTCTTCATTACTCCATTTCTCACAAAGGTATGTTGGCAAATATTTATAGAAACACAATCTTCTAAAATAAAATAAATTTAAGTAATCTGTATAGTCAGTGAGTTCTCAATATCCTGGATCAGGGTTTGTGTAGATGGGGTGAAACAAACCTCTATTTTATTCCTCTGGAATTTAACATAAGTAAATAATCTTATAAGATATGCATTATTCAAAATGTATAGACACCCCTATACCCCATGGCAGAAGACTTGCTAAGGCTATTGTGGCTTAAAAGTATCTGCACAATCCTTGTAACGCAGTACCGGGTAGATTCTAGGATGATCTAGAACTTCAACTACCATAATGCTTTACTAGCATTTAGAATGGGACGGCATCATGATATTTGCAGTTCTAAAACACCTGGGCATCTACTGATTGCACAGCCCTATCTATATATAATAAACCTGCTCATCTTACAGACTGGAGAAAGCATTATGGTTGAAGTTGCTGCTGGACCTACTGACTCCTCCACTCAGGAAAAGGTATGATGTTGTCACCTGATTAATTTTTTTGTGTCTCCAATATATGCAAGGCTTCAAAGCAAGATAGAATGGTGTAACAGGCACATAAGGTGATTAACTGGTTAGAGAAACAAACTTTGTATTATGCTGTCCCAGACTTTAAAATGTAATGTTCAGATATGGACTTCTAACTGTCTATTCGTAACATCCACTATATTTATAAAGGCCATATGCACATTCTACAATGTCACCTGGAAGGCTGGAAGGGGGGGGAGTGGGGGCTTAAGATCGTCTTGTAAACATGTGAAGACATAAAAACTGTTTGCTGAGCACTGCCTCATCATTTTAAAGTGATATCCATTGATATCCCATTCCAATTAACTTTCTCAAAGAGGTCGAGTTGGGGATGAGAATAGATAGTTGTTAGTTTGTTTTAAATGGTTTTTATTGTCATCGTCTCTTGAGCACAAGCATTGAGCATAGCATTGTAAAGAGCACATGGCGCCTACGCAGAGGCTTGAGTGGTGAAGCAGTCGGGTATTACATGAACAGGTATAATAAAATAACATGCGTGCATTTTGCAAACATAAACATTTATTGTCGCGTGCTGGTAGAGCATGGGTCAGCATTTCTAATCTGGTGTATCTGCATTGTCCCGCACCCCGTGCCAAGGTCTGTTTTCGGGTCGGGCCAAGGGTTGTAGTGTGTGTAGGGTTTGTGGTGCGGGTCTGTCCGCGCTTGGTCTGTGCGTGGCGAACAAGGCTGCTGAGCAGCGGCGGTAGGTTTTATGTGTGTGTCTGTGGGTTGCAGTTTGGACAGGTGTATCTACGTCAACCTCGTGATGTCGACCGGCCAGTGATCCGCCCAGGGTGTTGGTCACCTATATGCGTCTTGCAGCAGTTGATATTGCCCTCGAGTGGGGTATTGTTACGCATCAGTGCACGTAGTAGTGTAGCATTGACGAGAGCTGGCCTACTTAGGAGATGGTGGGCGTATCTCGTATACCTACACAGGCTATAGTGGCTGAGTCTAGACCCAGGCCCTTGTTGGGTGCGTGTGGTTGGAAATGTGTGGTGGATTCGTGGTGGTTGTCTGCAGAGTAGACTATTGGTCAAGTAATGGGTCCCGAGGAAAAGTGTATAGAGAAAGAAGAAGAAAAAAAGTGGGGGGAGGGAGGGAGAATTTTGGTATGAGCGTCAACCCCAGGTGCAATCCGCTAGGTGTCTTTCGTTTGTACGGCCTGGCGTTTATGGTGTATTCATGTATTGCACAAACTCGTCTGTGGATAGTTGTCAGTTTGTAACCATGATAAAACACTGAAATTGGCATGTAGAGAACAGTAGTTATTTAAAAGTAGTTCATTCCTGAATTAATTTGAGCATATCTTTGGCCAACTTCTGGTATCTACACAAGGGAATCTTTATTTATTCATTTATTTTACTCACTTTTGTGAATTTCTTCGAGACACAACTGTTTGGAATTTTCTGGTTAAATATTATATACACGGGTAAGAGAAAATTGATATGCAAGACACTTTGAAAAATGTTTTTTTTTCCAGTAAGACTTTTTTTTTTGTCTTGTAATTTAAAAAGTAATCAACTTATATTGGTGGGTTATGGTGCAGCAATGTAATTCATAGCTAATAAAAGACTAATTCTCATACCAACTCATTCAACACTAACTGGTTTCTATTTCATTAACTGCAGCTTCCAATGGTCCTGAAAGTACCTCGATTAAACTCCTCTCCCCTAGCGCTCTGTGACAGACCCTTCTCTCTCTTGGGATTTGGTGACATTCTTGTACCAGGTAGGAAGATAGTACATTATCAATTACAATTCTTTATGCTGCCAAAATTGCTGCCCTGAAGACTGTCTGCAAACATAGCTAAATCATCATCTACTCAGAGGTGTTTTAGTAATTTTGTAACATGTAAGTCTTTAATTTTTTTTTGTGCTTGTTGTTCCTTAATGTATTTTGCCAACTTTAATATGTTGTCACATTGTAAAGACTTAAATGTTACAAAATTACTAAAATCGCCTATCCTAACAAACAATATGGGTTTACACCATATGGCTATATCGTGTTAAGCCCACCGCTGTGTCACAGTACCCCAATATCAGTGGTTCCCACGTTAATTTTAACATCAGAGATAAGCATGTTAACTGCAAACTAGTTTTCATGGCACTATAGCTTCCCTCTTTGTCAAGGGATTAAAAACCCCTTCTGTCACTTACCTGGGTCCAGCGCCGATGTCCCTCGGCGCTGACTCAGCTCTTCCCACGCTCGTCCCCTGCCGACATCCGTTGGACGTTGTGGGGGTTGTTTGTTCCAACTTATTTAGTGTAAACACAACTACAGGGGACTTACGAGGAGTGTTTTTGTTGGCACCAGTGTTGTGCTAAAGTTAGCTGCCCATGGAGATTCTGAGGATGACAACATCACTTAGGGCACAGATGGGGGTCTACTTATCAGACTGCAAAATGAGGTTGATGATGCTGTAGTTATGCTTTGTAAGCCCTTTCCTGCTAACTCAGCCCAGATTTGCTGTGTCCAATACCAGATTTCCCAATGTAGCTCAATGAGAAGTCTTTGCAAGGCAGGTGCTATTGGTAATAATGCCTCTTGAGTTTAGCTACACCAAGGGAAACAACCAGGAAGTAACAGGACCGGTTGTTTGATTGACAGTTGGGGAGGGGGGGGTTGTAACAAGGTTAATTTCTAAAAGTGCCAATTTCTATTGAAATCTGTATTTTTTTGTAAAATGAAAGACTCATTTATTCACATAAAGTACTTGTTGCTAGATCTGTCTCTGGCTTAAGTCTATGTGATTTAAAAAAACAAAAAACAAAAACTAGATTTAATTATATTTTTTTATATTTGTTGCCGTTTATTTCAGTGAGGGAATTTCAACAGCTGTGAAATTGCAGACATGCGGAGATTTGAGTGTGCTGTGATTTATTTATTTTCTTTTTTTAAACCAATTTTTTTTTATGGTGTACTGTTTATCATTTTTAGGGTTACTTGTTGCCTATTGTCACAGATTTGACATACAGATGCAATCCTCAAGAATCTATTTTGTAGCCTGTACAATAGGTAAGTCTCTGTTCAAAACTGTATCTTTGTTATCCACAAATTATTTTCAAAAGCGAGAACGAATGGATGGGGCATGAAAATATTTTACAAAGGTTAAAGAACTGTGACCGTGAATTAGATTTCACGAATTCCTAACTAAGAGTGGCATTTGCAGCTACCTTAAAGGGACACCCCGAGCACCAATACAACTTTAATGCACATGATAGATTTTGGCCTCATTAATATGCTGTAATATTTATTTATTGCACGCCCAAATCTATATAGTTTAATTCCGCACCAGAAAAAAGTTTTCTAGAATGCTGCACCATAAGCCTGCCTTAGCCACAAACCCTCACTCCAGAAAAATACTTCCTTATCAAATGTATGCACACAGCTCAGCCTTACAGCACTGTGTAAGCTAATTTTTAATTCACAGCCTGGCTGCAGACAGTCAGAGAACCTACAAACAGTAAGTGATATCCTTGCTAAATTTCTTCCTTGGTGTCTCCTAATGCAGGTTGCTTTGTAGTGCAAATTATTCGGTGCTGTGTATATGTCTTTGATAAGGAAGTCTTTTTCAGCAGTGAGAGGGTGTGGCTAAAGAGGCAGGCTGCTGCAAAAACTATAAAGTGTTTTATTTTTTATGCAAAATCTGTAAAGATTTGAGCTTGCAAAAAATATGACCTATTAATGAGGTCAAAACCTATCAAATGCATTAAAGTTGTACTGGTGCCCTCAGTGTCTCTTTAAGGGAATTAAAAAAAACAGAACAATAAAAACCATGGCACTCTGTAAGAGAAATAATACCGAGTAATGTGCACTGTGAAATGTTTCAGTTCACGAATTTCTCACAAGTAGATCATATACCCTTTTTATCTTGTAATCTGTGTGACACTATGACTGTGTATCTCAATACGGTGAATATCTGTATCTCCGTTACTCCTCTGAAGATAACTGGACTAGTATTTAGTACCTTCTTTTGGCAAAATAAAAGTATAGGTTTTTATGATTAGGAGATTTAATAGTCTTTGTTTTTATTAACATTTTCCCGTTGTTCCCCACCCGTACACTAACACTTAATTTTCTTTTTTTCTTTTTATATATATTTTCTCTCCTCAGCCTATGGAATAGGTCTACTTGTTACGTTCTTGGCATTAGCCCTGATGCAGAAAGGCCAGCCTGCTCTGCTCTATTTAGTCCCCTGCACCCTCCTGACGAGTTTGGCCGTAGCCGTCTGGCGCAAGGAGTTGCCCGCATTCTGGACCGGCAGCGGCTTTGTGGTGAATACCAGTTTGATATGACTGTCTCCGAGAAATACTAATGTTTTAAATCCTAACTCAGATAAAGTTGAGTAATCTCTTGCAGCATTAACACAGAGGACAGTGTTGTATTGAGTGTGTGGCTTAATAAATAACAATGCTTTCAATATTAACATATATCAAGCTTTATAGTATGCTCTTTTTCACAATGAATAGAGACGAAAGGTTATATAAGCTAATATTAAAGGAATCTTTTTTAGAACCCTATTTCCGGTTTTCTTTTTTTTTCTTTTTCTTTTTTATGGGGATATACATTTTAGATGTTACTGGACAAGTCACAAAATATATATATCACAACACTTAAAGGGTTACTCCAACTGTTTTTGTAAACTTTTTTTATTTTGGTAATGTTTAAATATGGGGGTGGGGTTTAAAATGTACCTGGAACCCAGCGCTGGGTCAAGTTGTCCAAGAATCTTTCCACACCTTCTCTGATGTCACTCTGCTTAACTTGTTACCTGTCCACAGTCCAATCAAATGCTTGTCATAGAAGCTTTGTTGGACCTTGGGTGCATGCTCAATGAGCACGGAGACCCACCAAACAGCTACTTCTGATAGAAAAGCATTGGGTCCAATTAATGTTACATTGCACATACAAGTGGAGAGAAGAACTGAGTGACCGCTCTTCTCACTGCTACAGCTCTTCCACCCCCCAATCCAAGAACTGAGAAGGGAGGGGTACTGGAGACTGCTTGGAACATGACCATTTCTAAAAGCAGAAGAGGTTATGGTGGTTGCAGTAACCCTTTACGACATAGTGGTTCACAAATTACTGATATGTAAACATTTCCCCTTAATACATGTTTCAGCAATATGTATCTTTTATACTACATTATATTTTCTAGTTAAAGCAAAGGTTAAGGTTCCTGCAACTTTAGGGCAACTCTTAACACTTGCATGTCCCCGTCTGCCCGGGATTGGTAGGAGTTACAGCATATTCACTGTACACTGTGTGAAATCACTCACTCTGCAGTATTTAAAAGCCATAATCCTCGAATAAAATGTAAATGCCTTGCCTAATATGTTAACAAGTACAGACTACTTTCTCTTTATTAACTCTCTTTTCTGCAGGCTCATTTAGCAGCAACATGTGTTTTTTAAAACTCAGCTTTGTATGGCAATGCATGGGTTATAATACGAAAGCAAGCCTTCTGCTAAAGGCATATGTAGAATATGTAACTGATGCTTTGTATGCCCATCCTTGAGGCTAACACTAGAATGGACGTCTCTCTGTGGACTCATGTGATGTGTTGCACTCCTAACACCTGAATGTTCCATGCAGCTTATTCCCATCTTTATTTTTTTCACCCTTATGTAGGGGTACGCAACCTTCGGCACTCCAGATGCTGTGTACTAAATCTCCCCTGATGCTTTGCCAACATTATGCCTTTAAGAGCATTATGCGAGATTTAGTCCACAACATCTGGAGCGCTCAAGGTTCCCTACCCTGGCTCTAGAGTCTCTTTATTATAGTTTTTGCATTGGGTGTAAGTGTAAAAGATTTGTTCTTGCTCCATGTGCCTCACGGACAGTTTATTTTTTTTGTTTGTTTTTTAGATGCTGGCTTTGACGCTTGCTTTCTGTTGAGATTTTCATAGTTTTACTGCTCGTCCATATTCAGTGTTTATTATATATATTTTTTTCTTGAGATAGGTTAAGATATAAAATTGTAAATGTTTCGATGAAAGTCATGAGCCAGGGTAGAGATCCTAGTATAAGGTTTCACTCATGCATCTATCTATCCATTTTAATATTTATGAAATGTTTTTATTTGTTTTCCGTATAAATGTGTTAATCACGCTTTATTTCCTTAACAGAAAGACCTTCCACAGCCTCCCTTGGTATTGGCTCCTTGTGAACCTGATGACGGCTTGGTCCAGCAAAGTGAGGAAGAGGATCATGAAAATGAAGCTGACAGCCACCCCACCACATTGTTTCCAGCCACGGACAACACTACACCAGACACCACAGAGCAACAACTCCAAGACAAAGACAGGACAGAGCCTTCTGAGCAACAGCCATGCCCAGTGACTGACAGCGCTAATCCAGACCCTACAGACCAACCGGACTCAGTCACTGATCATATTAACTCAGATCCTGCGGTGCCACGGATCACCTCAGACGAGACCACCTCAGACCAATCTGACCCACAGATCTGCCACAGTGCCAACAGGACAGCTTCAAATGCTGATGCAAATAATGCTGTACTGCCTACATCACTAAAACAAAGTGAAGAGCAATGAGCAGGCCTTTGCAGTGCAGCGGCCCCTTAAAACATCCAGGGAAAAAGCACTCCATGGGGAAAAAAATACCAACAATTTCATTGCGCATGTCTGTGTGTAAAAAGATAGTAACAATATCCTGGACTCATGGTTACTTTTTATTTTTATTTTTAATTTTTTTTATTTAAATGTTGGGATAATACTACCATGAAAGAGTGTAGCAGAATAAATAGCTAGCTATCATATTAAACTTAAAACCTATGGTGCTTTAAAAAAAAAATATGACGTATATGCTAATTCTATATGAGGACTTTGACAATACAAAGTAGTTCAACACTTTTACTATTTACATTTACTTTTCGGCTAGTGTATGTATATAGATAAAACGGTGGCTGTAGCATTTTGATGACTTTTTTTTTTTTTTTTTTCTTATTATAAGCTATTGTAATTTTAATTGCTGCAGTAGCCAAGTCAGTATGTGGGTTCCACTGGAGATTGTAAATAAACACGCACATTTTTTAACTTCCCTAAGTCATCCCAAAGAAACAGTAAAACTTAGTTATAATTTAGCTTTCTGGTACTATTTCAGGATCTGAATTGATGTGCATTAATGTATAGCAAGTCGGTTAGCATTTAAAGGATGAGTGTACTTTTTAATAATATAATCTTGGAGGTTTCTTCCCCAGAACTTGTGATATCCAGCTCTGTATTGGTACGGAACTGCATTCTGACTTTAGAGAGGAGAATGGGTGACTTAAAGGGGAACTCTTACTTGCTAGGGTTTTTAATATTCTGTTTACTTATCCCCTGTATGGAGAAAAAAAAAAAAATGTATTTGCAAGGTATGAGAAATAAAATTGATACGGCTATTAAAGTGAGCATTATTGGGAATTTTAAATGAATTTCTCATTTATAGTGACTCTTTACTCCCCTCCCCCACTTCCCACTAATCCAAAATGTGTGTTTCATAAAGATAAAATATTTCATAGTAAAGATAAAATGGGAATTGGGGGCACACTGGGATAATGCATCTCTCAGCAATGGTGCTGTTGTAGAAACAAAGAATACAGATTAGGAACAGTGCACACATAAAAAAACTGTTTTACGTTTTACAAGGCTACTCTGTTCCTTAATATGTATTAACCCCTTAAGGACACAACTTCTGGAATAAAAGGGAATCATGGCGGAATATTTCCATCATGTGTCCTTAAGGGGTTAAAGATCAAATCTTTATGAAATACATGCATTGAAATAATCACATTGACCATATTCAAAAGATATACTAAGTTAAAGTACGGACTAACTTTTTTTCGTATATTCCTTACGCATGGCAAAAGACAGAATTAACCCCGTCAAGTATTGTCATTCCCCCCACCTGTCAATAATAACTGTTGTAGAGAGAGAGGCTCGATCTATGGAGGTTCTCGCAGGATGCTTCACAGACCTGTTGTACTGTCATGCATGCGCTAGACACTAACGTTTGCTCCTGGCAGATGAAGCACCAGGAGTTAAAGAGGACCGACTGGATGATGATGGCGACGACTGCAAGGGTCTTGTTCAGGCAAGTAAAGCACACCTTCCCTTGCCCCGTGCCTACCAGATACCAAGCAGAGCAGTCCCCTACTGGGATCTTTGCAGAATAAGCAAAGGTGCCCTGATGATGATATAGCTGCTTTAAAGCCAAATTAGCGAAACTGGTAAAATAATCCAAGTCTGCTGTGCTTTCAATTCATCTACTTTGAGTTTAAACTTGAAATTTACTTGAATGCCCAAAATACTCACTTTGGTAAATAATCCCCTAACGGTAGAAATCCATACCTCTATAATCCTGCAACTGGGTGCCTCCATCTTAGCTACCTGTCAATCGTTGTTCTACGCAAGCTGCATAGAGAACACATACAGAGAAGAAATGAAACTGTTTCTATTTCCTCCTTCATTTGTAATGAATGCCATGGCTGTGCCTCCCCTGAACTGGATTGTAACTGTATTTGCTAAATCTTTTTAAAATAAAATGGAGCATCACTTGTAAAATTAAAATTAAAAAAAATGTAATGTAAGTCATGAGAGATTTTCAGTGTTTTATGCAATGGTGTACTCCTTAAACAAGTGATGGTTCTCCTTTAAGTCACCTTGTTAGAATAATTACTTGTAATTATAATTACTTCTCATGTTTTGCATTACAGTGTATATTGATTTGTTTATGCTACACGGTTTCTAGGAGGAAGATATGCATTTTGTTAAACATTAGTAAATGTTTGCCACTATGTGGTAATTAGTAGCTGTGTATTGTTGGCTTACTGAAACCGTAATGTAACACACAGCATAAACCGTTGCATCCAAACACCCTTCAGACACAATGTTGTGTGAATGTCTACACTACTACTAACATGAAGCCTGAGAGGCCTGGATACTTTGTACTTCTTCTAGGTTATATGCATGGAGGTGGAATGAGATAACTAGTTGACACAGGTTTATATTATCATATTATGTATACTTTACATTCTGCAGAAGATAACATTCTTAATTTTCTCTCTTGCTGTTGTTTGATCCAATGAAAGAAGCCAATACGATCTAGCCACTTCCATGTGATACCTCGAAGCAAAAGATCCTGCCATCAGACTAAAGACTAACTCCACGGTTAATTTTAGATATAGAGATGCTATGTGATTAGATCAATAAAAGTAAGATTAAACATATCAGAATGTCCTTAATTTGTAGCCAGTATGCTTCTGTATCGATACTAGGAAATGACTGAAAGGTTGACCAAACCTAATGGGGTACGTAGAGCAAGTGGTACATATAAACAAAACTAGAGTTTTACATATGCACATATTTGCCGCTTTAAATTATACAAATGGCTACTGATATTTTCACAAAACCAGAACAAAAAGTGAGTAAGAAACGCTCACATGTGTTAACTCAAGATGATTTGTTTTTTGTTTTATGTGGGTGCTTCTAAATCATGCAAGAAAAAAAGGCGGGAGGGGGTGGGGGGGTAACATTTGTAATAAAACAAGATCCAGCAATATTCCATATTCTGATCTACATAACATGGCCTCAATTTTAATATTTTAAGATAAGCTTTTGAAACAATGTCATATTTTTGGATAAATGTTTAAATGTTCTTTTATTTTTTTTATCCAAAGTTGTAAAATATAATAGTAATAATAAAGCAATATATGAACATAATTCATTATCAAAACCAAATATATAATTTTTAAAAGCTTATTCTAAAATATTAGATCAAGGTCTGTATTGCCAGAGAGCCTCAAAGAATGAAGGTACTAGACTTTGATGTTCTACCACAATGTCACTAGAGTCAATAAATGAAAAGTTGACTGTAAAACGGGAAATATTGACACAGATATCCCTGCCTCATTATCCTATGGTGGTCTACAGTTTATGCACTACCCAAGACTGTCTAACAGTAAAGGTGGTGGTGTAGGGTTTCTCCTTTCTCCCCACTGCTAATTCAAACCTCTACCCGTACCCAACCCCCTTCTCTCTCTTTCTCCCCCTTTGAAATTCACTCAATTTGTTTATTTAAACCGTTATCTGTAAACATTGCGGTTATTTATCCGCCCCCAGGTTCTCCTCGTCTCTTCCTTGACCATTTTGCTGCCTAGCTTCCTTACTTACTCTCAAGCAATATCCAATCCCTAATTCTAGGGCATTTCAACATTCCCATTAACCCACCCTTGTCCTCAGTAGCCTCAAAACTTATTTCAATCACCTCCTCCTTTGGGCAATCGCAATGGGCTAATTCTCCCACACATGTAGCTGGCAATATCCTAGGTCTTCATTTTTTGAACTGCATGCTCAATTTTCTCTATCAGACCACCACCTCCTATAATTTGTTTTAGAGTACCCCCACACCCAATATCCTCAACCTAACCCCCCGCAACTCAGGAGGAATCTGAATTCTCTTAACCTACAGCTACTCTCATCCATCCCTACCTTCACCTGTCCCTCTTTGGCTATCTCCTTATAATGCTACCTTCATCACTCCAACTGTGGCACACTAAGTCAACCCCAGATGCTCCCGTTCAGTTGAACGCTGCTGAAGGAAGTCTCGCACCTTGTTAGACTTTCTACACTAAGTTGTCTTGCGCTCATACAGTGCAGCTCTCACCCTTGCTAAACAGTCCTACTTTTCTTTTCTCATTAGTTCATGCTCCCGCAATCCTAGGCATCTCTTTTTAATACTTTTAACTCTCTTCTTCACCCTGCTGTGGCCACCCCACAAATTAATCTTTCAGCTGATAGCTTTGCATGTTACTGAAAAGATTAAACTGTTAAGGAATGAATTCTCTCCTCTCTTTCAACCTCACTTGGACCATACCATTGTTGCCCTCCAAGACTTTCCTCTAGCTACTGAACAGGAGGTGGCTGCACTTCTCCTCTCTTCCCACCACCTGTCGGCTTGATCCAGTACCTTCCCACCTCATGAGAACTCTCACCCCTTGTCTTGTACCATCCTTAACACACATCCTAAACTGCTCTCTTTCATCTGTTGTGTTGTCCCTGCTCCCCTTAAGCATGCAACTGTCGTATCCAGCCTTAAAAAGCCATGCATAGACCAGTCTTCCATTTCCAACTATCGTCCCATATCCCTGCATGCTTCTTCCGCAAAGCTTCTAGAAATACTTGTCTTTATCTGTATGGGTCACTTCCTAAATTCCAACTCCCTCCTTGATCGTCTTCGATCTGACCTTCGCCCCCTCCACTCTACTGAGACTGCTCTTATTAAAGTTACAAATGACCTAATCACCGCCAAATCCAAAGGCTTCTACTCCATACAAATTCTTCTTGACCTCTTTGCTGCCTTTGACACTGTTGATAATGGCCTCCTTCTCCTAACCCTTCAATCTATTGGTCTCTGTGACACAGCCCTCTCATGGTTCTCCTCCTATCTCTCCCAATGCTCCTTTAGTGTCTTTTTCCAACAACACCTCCTCTCCTCGTCCTGTCTCAGTCGGAGTCCCTCAAGGTTCAGTTCTTGGTCCCCTTTTGTTCTCTCTCTATACTGCCTCTCTTGGCAACTCATTAATTCATTGGATTCCACTACCACCTGTACACAGACAACACCCAGATATCTCTCCTCACCTGACCTCTCCCCTGTTGTCCTACAACATGTCACCAATTGCCTTTCTTCTATCTCTGATTGGATGTCCTCCTGCTTTCTGAAACTCAATCTCTCTAAAACTGAGTTTCTTAGATTTCCTCCTCATAACACTAATCCTCCTCCTTCACTCTCCCTGCAGGTTGACGATACCTGTCTCACCCCATCCTTTCAAGCACGCTGTCTTGGTATCACTTTTGATCCTGGTCTCACCTTTGAGCCTCATGTCCAGTCTGTTGCTAAAACCTGTTGAATTCAACTTAAAAAAAAATAAAATAATTGCCCGCATACGCCCCTTTCTTATGCAAGATGCTGCCATGGAGCTTGTTCATGCTCTAGTAATCTATTGCATCGATTACTGTAATGCTCCCCTAATTGGTCTCCTCAGAAGCCGTACTGCCCCCCTACAATCTGTGATGAATGCTTCTGCCAAGCTAATCTTTTTCTTCTGTTGCTCCTGTCATACCTCACGTCTCTGTCAATCCTTACACTGGCTTCTGGTACCCTACAGGTGTCAATTTCAAAACCTAACCCTTATCTATAAAGCTCTAACCAACTGTAGCCCCTCTTCCATTTCTTCACTGATTCATAGGTATGCCCCCTCTGTCTCTCCGCTCTACTGGTGACCACCTGTCTGCTGCTTGCACACTTACTGCAAACTCACGCCTGCAAGACTTCTCACGGGTGGCTCATTCGCTTTGGAACAGTCTTCAATCCTTTAAGATGTCCCTCAAAACCTATCTTTTCAGGAATGCTTATGGCCTCCAAGAGTAACTTCTATCTCTCAAACCTTCATCTCGCTCTTTCCTATAGGGCCACACTCCACTCTCCCCTCCAGTTCTGCTACTTTCCCACCATGTCTATTTGCTGTCTCTCTCAATACCCTTTCTATTGTGTTTTTATACCCAACCTCCTCTAGACTGTAAGCTCGTTTGAGCAGGGTCCTCAACTACCTATTGTTCCTGTTACATTTTGTTATTGTCTCATTTGGTAAATTCCCCTTTTATTGTAAAGTGTTGCAGTATAAGCTGGCGCTATATAAATATGGTGACAGAACGACATCACTGAAAACCGCCTGGAATTCCGTGCCAGCCAATAGGAGAAGGGCTACCATTCAAACTGGTTTTGCGCCTTTTTTCCCTATTGGCTGGCAAAACACCTCCCCTCCCTGAGCACTGATTGGTGCAAATTAGTTTGTGCTCTTTCTCCTGATTGGTCGCCGTGTGGTTTAGGTACGAAGTTTGAATCTACTGGCCTAAACCAAGTGATTCTCTGGAACTGTTTTCGGGTATGTACAGAGCCTCAAGCCCAGACTTTGTATGACAATTTCTCAGGCTCTGTACATCCGATCGCTTCGCAATTTACAGTGATCATAGCTGGGACCAGGAGCTATTTGGGGATGCCATGTGGGGGTGCATTACTGTATGGTGTGTATTTTGGTTTTCTTTGTGTGTTCAGCTTCCTGTGTCCGGAAGATACCATTATCTCCCAGACTCAGCGACACTGGGGTGGGCTTATGTTTTGTATTGCTGAAAATGGAGATCCCCTGTGGGTGACTGTGCATAAATACTGTGGATCTTGCCTACAATAAACAGTTTTTGTTCACCCTTCACTAAGTCTCGACTAGTGTTTGGGTGATACCACGATTGCCCTCATGCAAGCGACTATAATCACTGGCTAGCCGCTATAATCACTCTAAGGCTGGGCACAACTGGGAAGGGGCAACCACAGGTGGTAGTAACCCATCCTTGAGAGGGTATACCGCCACAAATACCAAATAATAATGATAATAATAGCAATAATATGGATAGAAATGTTTTGTGTACATTTTTTTTTCTTTTTCCTCATTAAATACAGAATTACAGTGAATTGAAAAACATTGCATAATTTAGGTTATAATGGACGAGCAGTGACAATAGTCTTTTTTGTGATCAGCATTTTGGCCTACATTATGAAATTTGATTTCCAATTCGCTATGATTTGGGGTTTATCATGGAAGTGCAGTGTTGCTGAAGCGTAATTCAAATTACTGTATAGAGTTTATGTGTAAAGGAATGTGAAATATCTAGAATGTCTACAAAAATGTTTTGTTTTTTTATTCTAATTTTTTTTCTTCTTCTTGTACCTTTTTAATGGAACAGATATTAAATATTCCTTTTATCTGGAGCCAGACGGTAATTATAACTCTGCAGAGAACTCAAAATGGTCTGAAAACGGCCAATGTCCCCATGGAAATCTATAGGACTAAAACAGAATTTAAAAAAAAATCCAATGTCACAGCCATATCTTTTTAAACTGTTGCCAAGGAAATTGAAAGGTAGACTTTCCTATTCAGGTACACTGGAGAACAGGTTTGTTTAGTTTTTCTAAAAGTATAGTACGGTCTAGAACCTATTTTGAAGATACTATCTGTGTAAATGATCCCAATAAGCTGTTTGGCAGCCGTGGGCTATGGATAAATTTGCCAGACACAGCGCTCTCTGTGACTGTTTAAAACTCTTTCAAATGGTTGTTTTGTTCTCGTGACAAATCATGCTTTGGGTGTAAAATAGATGCAAAGATTCCGGGACAAAATGCTGCACAGGTGTTTGAGGCAGAAGTATGTGAGGAAGATATATAAATATAATAGTTATTTTATTTTAATGTAATTTTCAATTATTCATATATACAATAAATGAGCGGCAGGATCCGGATACTGCTTCTACAGTGTTTGCAGTAGCCGGATGTAGTAAACCTGTCTACAAATGATATCGGGAGCCAGGCAGACATATATCAGCTGATGCAAAGGAAACTTTGTAGCGGAACAAAAAATTATCTTTATTGGATACACAAATTATTTTTTTTTAGCACATGACAGGAGGCTTCATATTTTGTATAACGTTCTTTACTTTATGCCTCCAGCAGCACAAGTCAATCAAACTTTAAACCAATCAGTAACAGGCATCACATCCATATATAAAGCTCTGACAGACACATGACTTCCTCTTTCTTTGCTGCTTACCAGCCAAGGCACAGGTCAGAGTATTTTGCTCCAAACTGTGTTACTGATATTGCAAATTGTCATTAGTTGATCATTTATTGCTTAACATCCAGTTTTGCTCCAAACTGTTTTTATTAATATTGCTATGGTCACTGTAGTTAGACACCTTATGCTAGACATTCAGTTTTAATCCAAACTGGTTTTCTGGGTATATTGCAATGGTCACTTTAATTAAACTTTATTACTTGACTTTCAGTTTGCTCCAACTGTTTTTATTAATATTGCTATGGTAACTTTAGTTAGATTTTTAATGCTAGACATTGTTTTGCTCCAAACGGTTTCTGGATATGCATGGCCACTTTAGTTAAACTTTATTAGCTTGTCCTGCAATTTTGGCCTAAACGTTTTTCATTATTTTGCACTTGCCTTCCATTTGAACTTGTATAGTGTGATATTCTCCCTCTGTTACCTTTCCCCCGTTTTACCCCGAGCACGCTTTTTTTATTCACTGGTGCTGGGACTTCAGGGCAGGTCTCTGGGGGTGTCGGGGGGACTCTGTTCCATACCGGTGGGCCGCGATCTTATCCTTGATCGCGGGCCACACAACACTTTTGCGCACGAACGGTGGCCATCTTGAATCTCGCGGCACAGCCATGTCGTTTAGCCAGTTCATGATTCCCACGAACTGGCAGCTAGATCTGTACTGTTTAAAATATTTTTCCTGCGAAATAATTTTTACAAGTACTTTTGAGCTCAATACTAATATTTTCTCATGGGCATATTTAATAAAGGTTTTAAATGTACCTTTTCTGGAAGATTATGAATGGACTGTTCACTGCTGAGCTCTATACTGTAATATTTCATTGGCATGTAAAATAAAAGTTTTATATGTAACTCTGTATGAATATGTAGGACTGATCCCTGCTGTGTGCATATAGTGGATGCAGTACTCATGTCTGCTGGCAGTTTGCTCTATTCTGTACTATGCAATTGACATGTTGAATAACAGTTTTATTGTACGTCTGGAGGATTATGAATGGACTGTCCCCTGCTGTGGGTATATAGTGGATGCATTACTCTATCTGCTGGCAGGGAAATTAAATAGAGCTGATAACTTACTCAGCTCCCTACTCCCACTGGACCTCACAACCACTGGATACACTCCTTCCCCACAGGGATACACCTCCCAGGACACAGTAGTGGAGGCACATAACGGAATGATTAACAGGGGTTACCCTCCCTTACGCTGGGTGACCCCCAAGCGAATCTGGTTCCTGCCCCAGTGACATACATATACTGGGGTGATCCCCCTACTCTGGGTGAACCCCAAGCGAATCTTATTCCAGTACTAGAGACATACATATACTGGGGGGAACCCCCACGCCCTAGGACGGGCTCATATCCACGGAGTACGACCTGTTACTCTTTGCACAGACCAGGACACACTGGATACATGTATATCGACAGAGCCATGAAGGAAAGCTCACGGTGCTGCCAATTCTCCACAGTACTATATCCCATAAGGGTGACCCCTTGGATAATTTGGAGGCTACCATACCTCCCCATACACTGGCTATGTCCCGACATTACTGACCGCTCATCCCGGTCTTATTGAGGGTGACCCCCCCTCCTCAGACCACTCCCAGGAAATCTCTTAAGTGGTACTGATTGAAACAATTCTGGGTGACCCCCAGTCGTACGTGGAGGCCCACTAAGTGGCAATAAGTGTACTACCGTACCTGACACCTGTTCGGTACCCCACAGACTGAAAGAGTGTCCCAACATGCCATAAGAGACCTACATACTGGGGTGACCCCCCTACGCTGGGTGACACCCAAGCAAGTCTTACTCCGGTGCTAGTGGCATAGGTACAAAGGGGTGAACCCCCCCCTGCCGGACAGAGTGACCCCCTGTGCCCTTTCTAGGGCTTCTACCTTCAGAGTACAAGCTGTCATTGTATGCACAGACCAGGGCGCACTAGATGCATGTATTCCAACACCTCTGGGCTTCAACTGGGGAATCCGTACGCCCTTCCCTTAACTGAGAAGGAGAACTCAGTGCTGCCAAAACTCCACAATTCTAGGCCATATAATGATGAACCCCTTTTATTATACTATTGAGGCTTTCACGTCTCCCATACACGTGCTACGTCCTGACATTGCAGACCGCTTATCCCGGTCTTACTGAGGGTGTCCTCATTCTCAGACCAATCCATGGATCCTGCGAAAGTGGTACTGATTGATTGAAATTCTGGGTGACCCCAGTTATACGCGGAGGCCCACTGAGTGGCAATAAGTGTACTGTTGTACGATCCTGTCTCCCACAGACCGAAAGGGTGTGAACCAACATGTCGGACTCCCCTCAATATCTCCGACCGATTTTCAGGCGAGGATTAAGGCCGCCATGGCAGCTTCGGGGGAAGAAGTCCTCCCAAAAATGCTGGCTAACAACCCATGCGACAGAGCGGGTGCAACGGCACCAACACCAATGGAAGCTAGAGATACCGACAACGTTAGGTCGGACACCTTATCATCTAAACACCATTGGAAGGGCTCCAATGCGGCTTCTCCAAAGGGGAAAGGGAACACCCCGACTTAGCGGAGCTGTCTCTCAGAACGTCCTGTCCATTAATCATCTCAGGCTCCATCATCAGGGGACGAGGACTTCATCCCTCCCCCTTCTCTGGAGATCATGAAAGAATGGAGAGCAGAAGAGTCTCCATCTGAAGAGGTAAAGTGACAAGACCCGCCTAGCAAGAAAAGTTTTTCTTTGGCACACTGGACACTCTTGTTTTGACTCACGCACCATCCGACACGCAGGGTCATCCGAATGGGGTTTACCGGAGCACCGGGCACACTTTGCCCACTTCTGGCTCAGGAGGCCTCAGGAGCCCTCTATTACCGAACAAGATCAACCATGGAGCTCGGTATCACTGTGGTGATATTTATGTCCCGATCAGGCTGGGGTCCATGTAAAGGTGTAGGAGAAGGACTCAAAATGAGTTAGGATGAAATACTGGACATGATCAGCCCCGGGAAAAAATTCTATACTATGTGGACCAGACCCCACCCAAGACTCCCCTTTAGAATGGGTGCAAAGGGCAATATGTAGGTTGGGGAACACAAGGCAGACAGGTGCACAGAACGGCGCAAAGCAGCCCCATTAAAGATGGATTTCAAACTATTGAAGTTAGGGACGAAAGAGCGAAAACCCTAGGCGGACGGACTATTGTTTTGGAGAACCATTTATCTCTGCAACAGTTTGGTAGTAAGGAAGAAGACAGGAGACTATCGCCCAGTCATCAATCTACGCCAACCCAATGGTTTTGGAACATACCGACAACTCAAGAAGGAAGGTATCCATCTCTTAGGGGATCTACTCCTCGAAAGGGGTTCGCAAGGTTGGATTTGAAGGGCACTTACCTACACACATGGTACCTCATGAAGTTTCTTAAGCCGGTCACGGCGCACTGAAGAGCAAAGGGTATCCGCTGTCGCATACCTAGACGACTTACTGACCTTTTGCAAATCCAATTCCTGACTACGTTTACAAATGAGATTTATGTTTACAGTTTCGGGAATTGTTGGGATTCATTGTGAACAGAGAGGAGTCGGTTCGATCCCAGTTCCGAGTGATTCAGTTCCTCTACTTCGGAATAGATTCCATCTTGGGCAGATTACACCTTTCCACATCATTGATAGCGACGATTCGTAAGGAAATTCGGCGGGTACGGCAGAAAGGCACCATAATCCTTTGACTATTTCCCAGGACCACTTCACTACCGGATCAGACAGTGGCTGAAAGCTCACTGCCTGAGATCCGGACACACCTATGAAATTGGGATCAGAATAGCGAAGACTTCGATAGTACTCATTACCGTGGTAAAGGAGTCAAGAGTGGCACCCAGAATGGTTGTCCTTAATCGGGATCATCCTCTGCTCCTTCAGTTTTAACTTGCCTTCGGGCAGATCCAAAAGGAGAACATCATCCTTTGATAATGCAGGAGCATGTGGAGTTGGTGGATTGGTGTATTTCAGGGGAGACTGGTATGTCAAGGGACTATCGCAACCAACTAGAGACTGATTATGGGACTCATGGACACCAGGTATTCGGACACCAGGTATTCCCCGAAATAGCTTATCCGCCTAGAACACATGGAGTTCTCTGGTGTATGGGAAGGGACTGCGATCCCTTTATTACCCCTATCTCCTCGATGCTGAATCTTTATCATACCTTTTCACTACGGGCCGATTGGAATGATCGGACCGTTACATTAACGGGATACGTTCCGCGATTTCGACGACGCATAGTACGATTCACGACACTCTGGTCGATCAGGAGCCTTTGATATGCCGCTTTCTGTGGGGTTTCAAACTGTCCAGAACCATGCGTCAAAGTATCACTGTTGTGGGATTTTGATTTGGTTCTTTTGGAACTAGTCCGATAACACGGACCTATCCCCCCGTCAACCGTCAGCCATAGTCACGTTACTTTTAGGTCTTTTCTTGGGTATCAGATGTACTGGAGTTCGATGTAGACGGTCTTTTCGGTATCACCGGAAGGAATTATTTCTACGGTGTCTCGTAGAACTAAATCTTATCCGCGTCCATATCTTACCCTGTTCCCGGCGGTTTCCCAGTCTTTATGCAGTTAAAGCGGTACCTTGTTACATAGAGATCACGACAACACTTAGATTGTCACATTCAGGACATCTGCTGGTCTTATACCAACCATACAAGCCAGTTACCATGAACACTCTGTCTAGATGGGTTCATTGGTTGTTATCGCTAGCGAGGGTGGAGACGTGTTTGGGTACTCATTCGGTAAGAGGCGCGGCTGCTTCTCAGGCCTTCACGAGGGGGCCTCTATATTTTCAGCAACGAATTGGACACGGATAGACTACTTCCGTATATTTATTTTCGTCAACCACACACGCATCCTTCTCACTCATACCACAGCTTTAAAAATGCTAAATATGAAGCTTCCTGTCATGTGATAAAATTGTAGATTATGCTAATGTAGTGTACCTATAATCTTAATTTTAATAATGACAGGAGGCGAATATTTTCCCTCCCTGTTTCCCTCCCTATACTCTGGAAAATTTTAATATTCTGGTTTGTCATTTTCTCAGTGTTATTATAAGGTTTTGGTATTTCAGTATATTTATGGGATGCTTATCTGGTTGACATGTGTTAGATCAGTGTTGATTATTAAGTATACTATGGTTGTTTAATGTTTCAGTATATTAACTTAATATAAATATAGATACGTATAGTACTGGATTTAATGTGGACAACAGTTGGTTTCCATCACCTTTCACGTATTTCTGTTCTTTTCAGCGTAATCATCATAGATGGATTCGACAAGATAAAGCTGGAAGGTTTCAAGTTTCGTTTCAAGTTATGTGCTACGTTACTCAGGACTGTTATTTGAATTCCCTGACGTTATAATAGACTGTTTTTCGCATCAAAGAAAGAG